GGTAAGTTGCAAGTTGTAAGCTGTAACATTGAGATGGCGTTGAAGTGTGTATGTACTATGTATGTACTATGTATGTATGTATTTGTAGAGACAGAGCACGGAGTATGTATCGATATGTGCGCCGTTGGTAGTTCCTCGTCCAGTCATTTTACGATCCAGCCCTTCCATTCTGCTGAACACAACCTTTGGAGCCTTTATTTGGAGAGTCCTACATCATATAGTGCTGTGCGTGTTACTGACAGCCCAGGTGAGTGTGTATTACATTTACATTACATTACCACGCTAAAAGCGGGCAACCCAGATCACTACCCTCAATGCTCTGGTAGCGGCAGACTGGAATACACTCGGGCCCTTTGGATTGGTCTCTTTGGTGCTAATATATGAACTAAAATTCCTGGGGATCGTACAAGCAACAGGGCACAGCTTTTCTCCTCCCTTTCGATTGATTAATGGGCCCTGCTTGTGGACCGGGAATAATAGAGACTGGAACTGGAAGTGGAACTCGAACTGGCTAGGATTGTGATTGGGATTGGGATTACCCAGCAATTCCTTACTATTATCTTTGCCGTGCAGAAGATAGCCAGTTAATTCTCGACTGCTGTATCTCTTCTTCGTCCTCGAAAACTTGACACCACTCGACATCACTCACTCGTCGACGACTCCAGAGGCAATGGTATGAAGTGATTGAGAAGAGGTAGTCAGGAAATACAGAACATCTTTGTCGAAATACTTCTCTATTATCATACCTATACTCTGTTTCGAATCATCGGGAAGATACTCCAGTAATATTCCATCGGGGACACTAGCAGATTACCATCCTCACCATCCTACCAACCTAAGCGTTCCTAAGCTTTCCAGCTTATGTTGAATGGTAGCCAACCATCAACACGGCCATTCCGATCTCAACATCCCTTCCAAATAGAGGTCATTTGAGAAAAACAATTCATTCTTTCATCTGGTAACTTCTGAAGTTACAACAGTTCTTACCATTGATTCAAGCCTCACAAATCTAGCAGAAGTTTGAAACATACATATCTAGGTACGCATTTGACTCGATAACGCATGGTCGCTTCCTTACTTTGACCTTCCGATAATGTACCCATTAAACTGGGTGTCGGGACCAAGAATTAATTTCCCGGTCACTGGAACCTTAATGGCTCAAGGCTAACAGAGAGAATATAGCATAATTTTGTTGAAAGTCGGCACCAATGGCTGAACGAAACATTTCCATCGCTTCAAATCACTTTAGAGGGAGTGTGGACTCCAATATGGCTGCGTCTATAGGTCCCAAAAGTATGCCTGAAATAATTACGAGGACGACCAAAGGTGGGAGGAAACTGAAATATACGTTGACTGTGATTCAACAACCTGAGCGTGCGAGAGCTTGTGGCTCGGGAGCAAAATGTATGTTGGGCTTTCTTTCAGTGAAGGCGCCAAATGATTGTTGCGGAGACTGATACCGTTCTTAGCATCTGCCGATCGACGTCCAGTCGACCCTCCTCCCGTCGTTCAACTTCGCATTTACGATGAGACCGATCCACGACAAGAGAAGGAGATAACATTCCACTACAATGCAAACTTCTTCCTCTTCGCAACTCTGGAGGTAGCTCGGAATATTGCTCAAGGTCGTGTACAAACTTCGGCTCCTCAAGCACCCGTTTTGACGGGCATGCCAGTGTCCGGAATGGCCTACTTGGACAGACCTAATGAAGCTGGATATTTTATTTTCCCTGATTTATCTGTTCGACACGAGGGCCAATACAAGTTGAGCTTCAATCTCTACGAGGAAACAAAAGAGGAGAAGGACACCGACATCGAACCTTTGAACGAAACAAGCATGCGGAAGATGTCGAGCGCTGCGGCCGCTGCCGAATCGTCTTTTGATTGGCGTATGGAGCTCAAATCTGATCAATTCACTGTATACAGCGCAAAGAAATTCCCTGGTCTCTCCGAAAGCACTGATTTGAGCAGAACTGTTGCGGAACAAGGTTGCCGAGTTCGTATTAGACGTGACGTGAGGATGAGAAGAAGAGATACAAAGCCCGGAGGCGACTTTGGTGAAAAAGAGGATGAATATCAGCAGGGAAGAGCTACATCTCCACCATTTGATTACGCTATCCAAGCTGCGAGGCAAAGAGCTCTGAGTGCAAGCGTTCATGAGGATCCACAACAGAGGCGTGGATCGGGAGAAATCTCACCATATCATTCGCCTATTGTAAATACTCCATTTCGTACGCCTTCAATTTCTCCATCGACCCCCAACGCCCCTCTTCCTGTTGGTCCCCAGCTTGGTTGGATACCGCATGGACCTGGCTTCGCCGCTGCTCCCAGTATTCAACCTCCACATCCACCTCCGCCTCCACCCTCATCTTATCCACAGCCAATGCCAGCTACTCATCCTAATCAAGGCCCATCGGCACAATTTCGTCAGCAACCTCCCCAAGGTCCACCTCCTGCACCCACTGGATTTGATGAGAGGCGATCTTCATACAGCCAATTTCGTCCTCCCACAAATCCCCTCAACAACAATCGTATGATCAAGACTACCGAAGAATGTCCTGTGGATATCAAATCCCTGCTGCACCCCAAGGTCCTCAACCCATCGCCCCTGCTGTTCAGAATCCAGCTTATAATCAACAATCAATGGAGCCTACTTATAGCCGCAATCCTCCTTCTGCATACTCAGCCAGCTATCAGGATTCTGTCGCTCTCGCACCACTGAGAGGTGAGAAGTCTACAGCCATGTCTCCTCTTGCTTCGGTAACGACTATTTCACGTGGGACGCAAAACTCGGCGCCAATGTCAAGCCACAACTATAACAAGTTGGAGAGATCTGGGTCTTACAGTCAATATGCTCCCATTGAGGTGGAGCCACCAAAATCAACTAATAAGAGAAGCTACAATGATGTTTTCAGTACTCCTACTGAATCATTACACAATGGTAGACGACCAAGTGCTATTTCTGCAGAAGACGAAGACGAAGAAAGATCCAATCAGAGTATGATTTACAGACGAGCCAATGGCAACATCCACCAGAAACCCGCCCCCGGTCTCAACTAAACTGCACCAAGCTCAAAAAGTCTTCAGCAATGGCGTCAGTCACGATTTTTTATATAGAAAAGGCGTCGGATTGACTTTTTCTCTACACGCCTTTGAACTTTTTACCCCGTTTTTTTCAATATACGATTCTGAAGCTGATTTTTACGATACCAATTTGATGGGTATATCTACCTCCAACCTTTTACAACTCTTTTTTTATACGATTCGCGATGGTGTTGTTTACGCGTATCTTTGCACGCTTCTGGAAAAGCATACATGGCATTTCTCCTTATGATATCTAGGTGGTGGAAAGCATTGACTTTCTGATACCGTTGTATTTCTTTTGTTGGTACATTGAGCACATGTGGGAAATGTGCATTGGATGAATGAGATGAGGGGTGTAGTGGGCTGAGAAAACAATCCTGTAATTTATGGACTTGAGAGTAGAGATGAGAGAAGCAAACTCCTTTTCTGAATGAGATGGATGGAACGGAATGGAATGGAATGGGATTGCATAGAGTTGAATACCTACCTACCTACCTACCTGAATGAAATGAAAAGATCCACATTGGAGAGCTTTACAGAATGAACACTAGATTAAATATGGTCAATTATTCTATAACCTGTGAATATATGTCATGACGATCTTCTCATTTAAGGCCACAGCACTGAATTTACCCCCTCCCCTCCCCCAGGTTTTCCGGGCCACAGATGAACTGGCCCCGTGGAATTCAGGGCTGAAGCCGTTACTGTAGATACGATGCAGGTACAATGTATATAGTACGGCTACTATTGAACTAATGCTCGACATGCACACTTAGGCATATAAACAATGGCCTGCATGAGATCATCGAGAAAATTGACAACGTGGAAGACGGCTATTTGGTGGTGGGTATGAGCGGTTAGGGTTAAATTTGGATATAAATCAAGAGACTAAATATGTATCTATCTAACACATGACAGTATTGATACTGCGTTTGCACGTTTTTGACCCTAAAGGAATAGCAAATAGTTCAAAGTCAATGATTGACAGGTATTATGTAGATGGCAGCTAGAAGGTAGCAGTAACAACCAACCGCTAGCGAGTAATAGCTAAGAGCTAAGAGCTAAGAGCTAACTGCTAACAGCTAAGAGCTAACTGCTAACAGCTAAGAGCTAACAGCTAACAGCAACTGTGCAACGATAAGTGAATAAAACTGGTGAAGAAGTGCTTAGATTCGCAACCACAGTGATGTTCCTACCTACTTACTCAAGTATTTCAATGGATAGCATTAATGTATAACTATAAGCGCGTAGAATTGAATGGCTGGGATCGACCGCGTACACATACCCTTATGTAACTGTGTATAAACTAATAATTTCTTGGCAACGGTTCTTCGGTTTATTGACATACTAGTAAATTACCTAGGTTACTAGGTTACAGGTACCTCCTAAGCTTAACCTTAGCCACTCACTTTTTTTGTTTACTTTCTACTCAAAGGAGAGTCAAAACTCGAACTTGCACTCGACCTTCCCCTTCTTGACTCAACTCAACAACGTGTTTCCTGCGTGTTCATGCAGCGGTGAGACTAATTTTATAACTCCCCATTTTTTGTATGCAACCTGCACGTTGATATCAACAAGAAAAAGGAAACACTACGAATCAAATTCCAATTAATGCGCGAAATCCTTCGAGGATTGGGAAGACTTGTAAGACATTCTGATACGCTATTCGAGCTATCTGGAAATAGAGGTGCATATTCAAAATCATATTGATCACCTTTATTTTCCCCTCTCAATTTCAGCTCTCTTTTTCGATCTTCTTTCTTCTTCGCGACCCTTTTCGTCCTCGTCTTCGTCCTCGTCTTCGTCCTCGTCCTCTTCCGTCTCTCCTCTCTTCCTGCGTAGAGTTCGACAAGCAATCACCTTCATTCGAGCGCGTCAATGTCACCGTGTTGAACATCCGTACTTGAGGATTGGCAATGGCGAGTTACAAGGTTAGTTTTCAACAAGAACCCCAGATCCATATTTCAAACTCAATTGATTACATGCACCTTCCCGAGTCCCGAGGAAAATCATAATAAAATGGTCGAGGTATAACAGTTACTAATGTTCTAATCTGTCAGACTCCTCGCCGCCAGTCAATGGATCATCCCATGGGCGAGAGTCCATTTGATGACGCTAGGCATTCCATTGACTCGAGACCGGATTCGAAAGGTTCGAAGAGATTGTACAGTAATCGCAATGCCCGACCGACAATCCTAGGAAATGATGGCGAAGGTGGATGTTTTTTGGGACCTGCTTTCGATAACGATGAAGAGTATCCGGACGAGAAGCGTCACCGCTCTGAAAATTGGCCTTTACCATCGGCGCCAGTCCCACAGGAGGCAGTTATCCCTCCGTCTCGAGTTTCTTCACGCGCTCAAAGTCGAACAAGTCAAAGAAGTCGAAGATCTACCGCATCTCCCCAACCTAGTCGGCCTTCTCTACAGAGATCTCGTCCCTCGAGATTTATGGAAGGTAGCATGAATGATAAAGTCAGTAAACTTCCGCCGACACCATACCTTTACCATGAAGAGGAGCTTCGTGAGCGATACATTGAGGACGAGCTTATGGGAAATAATGGCCAGACAACTCCAGGTAGAAAGATGGCAAAGCCTCGCGGATTCATGCTTCATTCAAACACATCTATGGGTGCAGAATCCTCGCTCGCAGGTAACTCCGATACTTCTCGACAATCAACCATATTTCGATTCGGTAGTAAGCTTGCAGCGTCAATCAAACCATCCAACTGGAAGATATTCTCAAAGCCACAAAAAGCTCCGGAGGAAACACCTCAGCAGCGAGCGATACGAGAACAAAGGGAAAAGGCAGAAAAAATGTATCACGAATTGAAGACAGACAATTACTTTCGAAAACGTGCAATTTTTCAGCAGCCAGGCTTCAATGCTGTCAGGCATTCTATGGATCAAACCCCACGAATCAAGCATGATTCTGGAGTCGAATTGAACGACAAATATCATTCCCGAGACAATTTGCCCTTGGGGGATAAGAGGCAGAGTAGACTTAATGCCAGTACTCAAGACTTTTGTATTGACAGCCCCGGCCCTAAGATATCTGCCCCTGTTGAAGCTTCGACTCCTCGAAGTATTTTCCACCGTAAGACACCATCAATGTCGAACCTTCGAAATATGACGAGTAGAGAGTGGATGTCGCGACCTGCCTTTCCAGAAGATCCTCGATCTGTAAGAAAAGTTCCGTCAAGAAAGGAATTTCAAAGACAACAGAAGTTAGTCAAGCGTGTCAGTGATTTGGAGACAAAGCTTGAAGAAGCTCGTCGCCAATTGACGGATACTTTCGCAGAGCCACTTCCTGATGAGCACATCTACCAACCTCCTGATTTCCAACAACAGCGATCGTATCAGCAGTCATACCAGCAACAGCCATCGCAATCGCACCCTCCTTCATCTGACCGATTTGGTAGAGCACGTTTCGTACCCGGTGCTTTGGCAACCCTTCCATCCGAGAGACTTTTGAGCGGTTATGTTAATCCTACAGCAGATTTCAATGATAATGAGAATTTCTATAACATTGGAACAGCAATTACTACGCAAGACAGTATGGATCATATTTCGACCGGCCCGACTGAGTTGTTCAAGACGAGCGAGATACGTCCTGTACACACAAGTCAGCCTCCTATCACAGCACCGGAGGAGGGATCAGAGTACGTGCTGTCTAGCATCGAATCTGAGTCTGATAGTGAAATGTCTGATGTCCATAATGCCCAAACGATTGTTAGAGGCGGATCTGTCAATGGTGCCAAGATGGCGGTTGAAGTCAAGCCTACAACTTCACGTATTCTTTCACAGCAAGCGTTTATTGAAGGACATTCTTTCGAAGCAAAGGCCGACCAAACTCGCGCAGTGAAGAAGAGCGTCGAGAAAGACGGAGCTTTTAGACCTACACCCGAATCTGAATCTGATTCCGAATCTGGTCCAGATCTTGATGTCAAACCTCTTAAGAAAGTCAGAAGTAGCCGAAATCGCAAGTTTATCAATGAGAAGAGTCCTTACACTGGGCCATCTTCTCCCGAAGAGAAAGTCGTTTCTGATAGTGCACATAAGTCAACAGCCCGACAACCTCTTCCTGGCCGTGGAACCGAGAGACCCAGAAGCATACTTGTAAAACTCAAGATTCCCAAAGATTCACCTCCTGACAATACTGATGGTGATTCTCTCAGCTATACTAAGACGAGAAGAGCTCCATCTTCACAATCCGAACCTAAGGTTGATAGTGTTGACCAAGGAACCATTCTACCACATACTTTTTACGGCGTCCCTCCTGTACCCAGAATCCCTCAACATGTCCGACTTCCTAGTGGTGAGATGCTCAACACAAACGAGACCAGACCACAGCACACGCAAGCAAGCCAAGAACCTGGAGACTGGCCCGATGATCTCGAAATCTTCTAGCCAAGTCTCTCATCCTCAACTATAACCACTATACATAACGGCACACACAACAAAAGACCTACATAAAAACCCCCACGAGGAATATACCCCCAGCAAGATCACCAATTTGACATCACCCGAATGTGTTACGAGTTTACGACAGACATGATGATTGGATATTGTATTAATCTACTACGAAATTCACGACGTTCTTTGCGCTTTTTAACGGCAGTACCTACCCCTAATACTTATTTCCCTTTTCCTTTGATTTTCTTTTGTTTACATTTCCTGACTCTCTTTATGAATTATATGAATGACAATGGCGTCTGTCTAATTTTGCCCATCTGCGAGGGCTTCATTGCATTTACATAGCATGGCACGATAGTCAAAAGCGACTGGGCGATTTGAGCAAGCATTTTTTGTTTTTCATTGGGCATTTTGATGCATATGAACTTCACAGGCGACTAATTTGAGGAAAGGAAGGATGGAAGGTTGGGGTTGGGGTTGGGGTTGGAAAGGGAGGAAAGGCAAGGAATGGGATGGGATGGAATACCTGGCAATTTTTTTTTTCTGAAGGAATTTATTGTCCATTCGATTTCAGTGTCAATTTCATTTCAGATGGATAGAATGGACGGGTGTGTATGTGGTGCAATTATGATTTGCATCACGATCTATCTCTTTTAACTAGCTACCTAATTCGATTCGATACAAATATCGAATTTCTCTTCATCCATCTGTACATTAGATACCTAGGCTATTCCAGGAGAACAAATTCCGAATGTTAATATCAAAAAAGGATTCGGCTGCGTGATGCGATGCTGTCAGTGCATGGTATGATGCGTAACGCTTGCTCACGTGCTCGCTTTTAAAAAATGTCCGCTAAATTGACAATTGAGACTTCCTCCCACCCATCATACCTTATTTCCCATTCCATCCTCCAATTCACCCATCCATCCTTCCTGTAACTATCCTGTACAGGTAAAGCCCAGGAGCCAACAAGCCCCAACCCCAACCAACCAACCATCAGCACCAGCATCACCGTCGAAATCCGTTCCATTGCAACCCATCAAATCATCATGAACGCTAAAACGCATAATAAACAAAGCATAGATTGGCCGTCATTTCTAGTGTGAAGGCGATCGAGGGGTAACCGACGTAACGTAAGATGAATAAGAAAAATAAAAAAAATTCGTAATAAAAAGGCTAGCGTAGATGATTGCGGAAAATGTTGTAGTTTTTGTAAGGAATTATAAAACTTCCATAACACGTCCGTGATCTTCGTTTCGATTTGTAAGAGAAGTGAAAATATAAGATGCATGGGACCAAACGGTAGCGATGCGAGTGTGAAATGTGGCGAGCATCATTATGAGAAGGAGAGGAATCTGTGGAGTTTCGTTAGTCTCGATTTATGTCAAATGAAAGGATAAAGGGTTGGGAGGGGGAAATCGAAAAACGGAACAAAAATGAGAACATACCCAGATAAGGAATAGCTTCCTATCACTCCTGACCCTCTTCAATTTCTCCTGGCGTAATAATTGTATCTGGTTCTGTTGCTCCACGGTGACTATCTCCTTCCCGCCAATTCTAAGGGTTCCCATAGGCATCGGCTTTCTTTGCATAGCAGTTGTTGAACTTTCTGCACGTGCTACAGATGTGGTTGTTCCAACTTGCATTTCTATTTGATCAAAGATTTGAGTACATTTGCTGTCAGCAATGGTATCTGCGACTGCTTGTTCTGCAGAAGCTCGTTTCACGTCCATATCGTTTTGTGGGAATATATCTTCATAGGCAGGTGGTGCTGCAGCTGCATTACCAGAGAAAAGATCCCACCATTTGTTGCCTTGTTCCTTGCCACCATCTTGACGATTGGGGCTTTCTGGACGGCTGCCGATACGACGGGCCATGGGACTTGGTAGATAAGCTTGATAATCTGGAAGGTTTGCGAGTGTAGGCATTTGTGGCATCTGAGGCATCTGGGGCAGGTTTGGAAGACCAAGATGCATGTTATTGTGGAAGGTTTGCTGAAGGTGCTGCATCTGAGCAGTGAATTGAGTAAATTGTGCGAACATCTGATCTCTGAATGCAGTCATGGCCATTGTTGGGGAGGCCATTGCTTCGTCTGCTTCGACTTCGGGAAGTTCCAAGATAGGAGGTTTAGTTATCTCGATAGTCTCATTCAGGATCTTTGAAGTTGATCCCCTAGACTGCCTGCTTCGCATCAGGAATGGTCCATCAACAGTATCAATATCAGCATCCTCGTCCTCGTATTCGTTGTCATCCTCATCGTCGCTATCACTGATGCCACTTTCATTAGGTATCTCTGCAGTTGGTGGTTGCCATAATGATCTTAATGATGTCGCGCTGCTTGTTCTGCTCTTCAGTGAAGACCCACTTCGTGTTCTTGAATGATGTTCAACTCTGCGAACGGCACGATGAACTTCCTCAGAAGATGTCATATCTGCGGGAGCATAACCTTGGAGACTTCTGATCAACGGATCGGCACCACTAAGAATGAGGCGTCGAACGATTTGCGGATGGTTGTGAAGAGCAGCAAAATGCATAGGAGTAAATCCACCTTTATCTCGTGGTTCACAGTTCACGTTTCGTGCCAACAAAGCGGCAACGAAGCGATGCAGTCCCAAAGAACAAGCAAGATGAAGCATTGTTTGCCCAGAAGTTCTGCGCAGGTTGAAACGCGGCTTGGTCGGGCTGTCATCAAGATCAATAAGATCTAGACATCTCAATAGCGTTGCTTCAACATCGACACCAAAGCTTGCCGCATTGAATCCACCACCGTGCTGAGAAGATCCACCTCCGCTAGGCGGAGATTGGCCTGATGGTGCTCCCCAAGGACCATCCACAATTCTTCTTGCAAGATCCCGCACATCTTCCATCTTGCCAGTCATCTTGTGACCTAATACAGCCAACGCTGTTCTAATGATCTGCTGTTCGTCATCATCTACATATTTGAAAAATGCAGTTTGCTTTGGCATTGGTGGTGTTGGGTATTGCTGTCTCTGTTGATGCTGGTGTTTGAACGTGACAGGCACGGTTCCCGCGATGGCAGAGGGCGGCAAAAGACACACAAGAGAGGTCTCGCCCCAGAATGTTGTTGTTGTTGCTTTAGCATCACCGAACATGACTTCCAATCCTTGGCAAAACCCACTACCCAAACAGGTTACTTCTATTCCACCAGCCTTCGGTCCTTCGTTTGGTATCAGTTTATGAATGACAGGTGGCCGCTGTGGACTCAAAGTCAGAGGCATGCCGTACATTCCATTGACAACAGCTTGTGGCATATGAGCTTGTTGCTGTTGCGGCTGATAAATCTGAACGTTATTGCGCATACCATTCGGACTGGGGGCACGACTAGGATGCGCTGAAGGGGGTGCTGAGAAGAGCTGATGCATGGCCAAATTTTCTGTTGGTTGAGGTCGATGGCCATGGGGAATAAATATCTGATCATTACCATTCGGAGTAGGAGGACCTGTGTTGAAATGTGTTGGGATATTTTGCATCGGAGCAGGTGGGCAAAAAGGCTGCTCATTGGATGAGAAATTTGGAAGGTTTGGTGTAAATGGTGAGGGTATAGCTGAAGTGGTGGCGCTGACCGGAATAAAAGGGCCATTGCTCATTGCCGATTGCCCCGTCTCTAATTTGGTCATTGCTAGACCAGTGGGAACTTTACCAGAGGCACTGGCTTTGCGTTTCTTAGACAGTGGAGGGCCGGATGGAGTCGAGGGTGATGCTTGTGGCGATGGATGCCGGGGTGCCATTGTGGTAGAAATTGCTTGAGGCGGGTTGGGTGGTGGGTAACTCATTGGCTGTGGATACGGCATGAAGTTTTGTGATAGGCTTTGAAGATCCGAGGCGGATGGCGATACACGGAAAGGGGGCATACCAGAAACGGCACCAGATGTCATATCGTAGCTTCTTTCATTCGAATATGAAGTCGAACCCGGATACATCTGTCCGTCGGGCGCACCAGATGTCTGTCCAGAAATTGGTAATAAGTTATGCGTCTTATGATCATCTGTAATCATGATCGAAGAGGTGATTGCTTGTGCAATCAGGCGATCTTGATAGTCCTTGATAGTAAAGATTACCCGAAACCCGATCTTTTCATTTTGGTGTCTACAATAACATGCGATTCGCATGGGAGCATCAACTTGCAGGGCACCATCAGGTACCATAGGTTCAGGCCTGTCCCCAGTAGCTTCCGAGGGGGGTTGGCTTGTTGGTGATTGCCAATCCTTGACTTCATGAGTGTTGAAAACGATGACTCGCTTAGCCTCGTCTTTGTGCCATGATTCTTCTTCTTCAACCTTCTTTACCTTCTTTCTGGCGGCTCGTTTTCTCTCACGCGTAATGCAACCGCTACATATCAGCACCTCGCCTCCGTTGAGTGGTTTTCTGTCATCCTCTTCATCGGATCCACTGTCCGAAGACTGACATGGTGAGACTTCAGGTGCTGCTGCTCTTTCTAAAGCTTTTCGAAGGATGTCCGGGTTCTCCATTGCACTAGAACAGACCAACATCGTATAGAGCTCCAAAGTGTCCGGCGAGCGTTCCGGTGGAGGTTTAACGAGAAGTTTAGGTTTGGAGATCGTTTGAGTTGGCAAGTGAAGCTTTGTAACACCTTGAGGGACAGGAAAAAGTGTCATTTTGATGGGAATTTGAGTCTCAACTCGTGATTTCAATGGTGTGGGGTGTATTGTCAAGATCGGCTTCGTATATGGCGCGCCCGGAATCTGGCGGCTCCTGACTTGGGGTGTGTTTTGAAATGATAGGGGATTAAAGTGCGCTTGGGCTCTCATTATATTGGGAGGCATTTCTATGCTATTTGTCCATGGTGGAAGGCCATGAGCCGCGTTAGGCATCGTCCCAGGCATATATTCAAGCCCAACATTGGGAGAGGGTGAGTTAGTGAACATATGATGTGCAGGGGACGACACCTGACTTGTCGACGCTACAGACAAGGGTGACGTTTCCCTCGAACCGATATGGTATCCGTTTGTAGAGTGAGCTACCGAATGTTGCTGCCATTGGTATATATGTTAGTACATTTGCATGTATGAAATGGCAGTGAATGATGATTGACTTACAGAGTTTGATTTGTTATGATTCCTGAATTTCTTCCTACCCATTGGTGATATTATCTTCCGAGGGGTGTCGTGTTTTATAATCGGCATTTCTGGTGATCCTATATCCATTGTTGTAGCAAAAGGACTTGGACTACTCGACGCACTGTCAAAGTCAAAATCATTCTCCATGGTCTTGTCATTGAACCCAAAATTATTAACCATTGCTGAAGGGTTAATGGTTCCATTTCCAGCGTAGTCACCATAACTCGACATACTCTCCCCTTTGATCACATCGTCGCCTTTCCAGTCCCCCATATCTATATCGTCACCTATCATTGCGGTCCCTGAGTGCAGAGCAGATCCGGACGAATCGGAACTAGATTTTCTATTATATTCCATCGAATCGGAGGTAGAGCTCTGGGATGATCCGGCCGGCGAGGCTGTCGATGGGGCTGATAAGGGCGCCTCCAGTACAGCCGTGTTAATGAAGGAAGGCTGCTCGGGACTTTTGTGGCCGGCAACACTCGGTGTTGCATATGCTGAGTAGTATGGGGGTGATTCGTGTGAGAATTCCTCGAAGAGATTGTTTGGACTATATGTTGCCTCAAATGGCAAATGGGAATTGTCGAGGAATTCAAAATCGGGATCAGACTCCGCTCCCGACATATCTGAATTGAGAATGAACGGCGGCGAGCTTGCAGATAAAGGTTCTGATATTGCCTGCATGGCCTCTACGAATGTAGATACAAGGCCGCTCAAGTGCACTGTGTATCCTTACGTGGTAGAGACTCTGTGAAGCCCTAGTCTGCACAGGTTCATGAATCCTAGGCGCGAAATGATCGACCTGGCGATGACCTCTGTTCCAATGATATCAATACTATTGGAACATTGCGCGCTGCCCTCGTCAAGTGTATGTATGTAATGGGAAGGGATGGATGCGGTCGTATGGAGTCGAACGAGGATCTTTGTACGCCAAGTGAGGTAGGTGTGCGTCAACAGGCAGGAAGTAAAAGGCCGAATAAGATTGGCTTTGGGCAATATTAGAACTGGACTGTTGCGTCGAAAGCAGGCCTTGAATAAAATGGGTACTTTGAAGGTAGGCAGATTGAGTAGCAATTTGTGGAAAAAGGGTAAGAGATACAATATACTCTGTACGAATTGCGAGTACTTTGTAAAGCACCAAGTGGAGTACAATACTGCTGCAATGGTCCCCAATTTTGGTTTGATGGTGATCCTCGTCTTTTTTGTGAATTCCTCATTCCTCAGGCTAAAATTAAGTTTTCCCACGAAAACCTTACGGTCCCTCGTCCTTACCTAATCCGAAGTCTCTCGAGTGTGAGGTGAGTGTGTTGTGTGTACCTGGCTGTGTACTCAAATCCACATCTCTCTTATTGATTAAGAAGGAAAGGAAGAGCAAATGATCAAGGGTTAGAGTGAATCTTGATGGAATGGAGTATTGGAATTTTTTTACAATTTTGCGAAATGCAAACTGGCGGTGATGCTTTTTGACATGTCAGTACACATCGATCATCACCATCTACCAATCAATTACTACACAGTAAATTCTCGCCAAAATTGCTCTTACTCCAAATAGATTAACATGAGATACCGAGATAATCTAGATAATAGCTCCTTCGTCTTCCCACACGAACTATCCTTTAAGAAAACTCAAAATGATGGTACTACATCACTCTACGCCCTTTCTACAAATTTATACTTTTCGTCATTCCGGAGTCGAATACAGCGACAGACAGATCTGGAGACAAACAGCATACGCACAGAGCAGAAAAAGAAAACTGTTCATTAGTCGATACCTAGAAAAAACATGGTAACATGGAAAGCTGGCGGAGGGATGGATCGAGTGGCATGAAGAATGTGCATGGATTAACATGCGAGCAAGGTCAATCAAATTCTCACAAACAAACAAATACAATAAAAGAGAAGATTAATGGGAGGTGGAGCGACGGGGCAAACGAGGGGTTTGAATGCACGATTGCGATTACGGACCTCAAACTTTTAGAAACAGACGAAAGTCGATGCGAGCATTACGACTTAAACCTTCCGAAACTTTGATCTCAACTCCCCTTAGGGGCATTGGAAAAGGGAGGAAGATGAAGACGGTGCCGATTCTTCCCTTCCTCTCTACCATTTTGCACCAACATCCTCTTTCAGTCCATCCGCATTAGAGATAGTGAAGAGAGTGGCTTGCATATGGGCGTGCCAAGGCATACATTTACCATTGGCATGATCTGCTTTTTTAACACAAACCCATTTTGTATGCGTTGAAGGGATCGCCTATAGTAAAAAGCGTTTATGTTGCCAATTTCACGGGGAAAAAAGCTAGTCCGTTCTTTTTCTCTTTCCAAAGCAAGGGCATGCTTGGATGAACGTGTATTGTCATCGTGTCAGAATAGGACGAGTGCCTTTCTTTCGATTTTGCATTGATTCATTATACAACAGCCTTTGAAGGCTGTGGCTCAATGTATAAGCGGGTTTATCTGCTACAAAGTTTGGTATTAGTCACAAATTCCTTGATGCTTTCCAAATCCAAGCAACTATGGTTTACCTACAAAAATTAAAACATGATTTCCTATAATTTGCATTTTTCCTCAATCCTAGCAATCAACACATTGTCTTATGTGGGGGCTGGGCGTTCCTCTTCATCAATACAATATTAAGGAGTAATATCGAATACACTGTTAGATATTGCTTGCTATGTTTCGATGCCCTGGTAGTCTGCTACTTCTACTCTACTAAATCAATGTTGCATGGCTGGTCGTTGTATTCCTATCCGCCGTGCGACCCTGATAACGACAGGCCAGGGTCTCTCAAGGGTTGAGAAAGGAGACTAGATCTCCTCAAGAGTCTCGTCCATTACTACCACCCCGGTAGACCTCAAGTCACCGAATGAGGGATATCACGTGTGTTGTTTGCGATTGCCACCCCCACGTCGAATGACTTGTACTGAACAGATCAGTGCTAATTGGTTTCGGCTGAGTAGCAATTTGCTGTCCGAAATTGGCTTCTGCAAGATACCAATAACCGAAACTCGAATCAATTTTTTTACCCAATCACCGGTTATGAAAGGCGAAACCGATAATCTTCGCCATCACACTTTAGAACCCGAGCCGAACTTTATGTCCGTATACGAATACCAAAATACCATTAGCCGAAGACCGTTCTGTCACAGCTCAGCACTTTCGGCATCTACAACGTGGGTTCAACACTCACACTTTTAGTCGCCATCATTTTGAGTTCTCCGGCCCCTGCTCCCATTTTGTTCTTTATGTTTTTTATTGGGTGTTCAGCTATTTCAAAATCGATCAGTGCTCGTTCAAATGTTCAAACTGGTCAAATCTGATACCCATTATAATAAGAGCGTTCCAACGCCTGTAATTTAGCTAGGTAGCTGTCAGAACCATGGCTTTGAATCACTTCGCTACTATAAGAGATGTAGAATACCAGTTCCTTGGGCAGGCAAAATTTGGGACATGGTTCGAATCAAGGATCAAGATGAATACCGTTGATTCTGTTCCACCTTCTCTTTTCAGGTTCAAAACATACTTGTTTTAGTCACTACCTATTATCTTTAAGTTATTTGCATCAAAGTCTGATATTGTTATTTATTGTATGGATCATTTTACAGCAAAGGCATTATCTAACTAAAAACAGCTACTAAGAAAACATGCTTTAAATAGCCGGTCTTCTCTAGACGGACTAGCATTCCGGTACTGATGGCTTGTCTGAGATGGAGAGTCCAGGGGATACCCGCATGCACACCATCATTACAACCCATCCTCCCGTTAAATCCTGATCTCCATCTTGAACCCCCACGTCTTTCGTTTCCCCACCCTTCAGCTGTCCATTGTTTTAAGATCTAGCCTGGTCGATGGCATTCTGTCCCCGCACGTTGATGCGGTTCTTCTACTGAAAGGCTACTATTGCTACGATACCCACCGAATAGATTCTCATCCGCAGCCAACTAAAGTAGCATACAAACCTCACTACACGAATTTGTCTCGATCTGCTAATCAACGGTCGCCACAATACAATGGCATAAGCCCACCAAATATTGAAGCAAGTTTAAAGCACTTCCATCCATGCTTCAGCATATCTTCAATTGTAGCATAGCCACAATCTCAATCAACAACCATACATCTTCATCAGAACAATTCGAAAGCGCAAACCCAGACAAATCCATATAGTTTGGTCAGCTCAACAGGCAAGCATCCCACCGAAATGAGGCCTTCATTCATGATCTCATAGATTAAAGTAAAGGCAACAATTCAAAGCCACCTTACCTATCTTGTCTACAACCTACTTGAATCAAAGTTCCAACCTGCCAAACTTCAACTACACAAACCAGAAGTCCTTTCTATCATAAGTTAAACAAAAGGCCATGATAATCATCAATGTGACGCTGCAAGTTTACATCTTCCTACCCTCATTTGAACCAAACAAACCATATCAACTTCCAATCTCGGGTTTCTGCACATATAAAGTGCAGTACTGCATACATATCTTGAATATCCATCCACAGTGCAACATGCAATTCTAGATGCAGCTACAAATAGTGAGGTGCATTATCGCCTCACGAAATTGAATGAACGAAAGAATCTTCAAGTGAGCATGAAGTATGCAATACTGCAAGGTACAAGTACTATATGACAAAACGGTTAGAATGTAGTGAGATACCAAATTACTTCCTCCTAAAGATCTTCAAACGTTCATGTACATCGATTGGTTTTATAAATATTAGGATGACTGTTTATCCAATAAAGAACCCCTTCATCAATGCGACCAATTTTCCAATCATAATTTGATGCCCGCTCAAGCCAATCATATTTACTCCCTATCTCATTCGTTCCACATTGGGCTCTAATTCAATACATTGTACTTGCAACTCCCCTCTCACACAACCCAGACCCTACCTACCTTCTCCACTTCTCCACACACCACACCACACCATCCCTTGCACGAACGCCCGAAAAGCATCGCTTACACAAACATTTGTTTGAAATGTATGCAAATTCTGCATACATTTATACCATACATATTTCATGCATTGCCCCCTATACATCCCTATACATCCACAGCCATGCCGCATCCACCAATCTACCATCTTCAAGCCTTTCATCGAACGATGCCAAGAGCATTTTATCCTACCGATTCTTTTTTATACCGATTCTTATATATACAAACACCGGCGAGGCTCATGCTTGGATTATCCCAAGAGCTCAAGGCGTCACACCTTCACATGTTTGGACCAACCCAATATGAATCCTGGATATGGAGTAACCTCGCGTGTTTTTTCTGGGACATATATACATATCCACATATGTATATATGTATATATGCCGGAAGGAGACCGGAATACAACGTGAGGTACGTAGTAATGGAGTCGGGAATTATGTAATCTTCACTTTCGCTGAAGGAGTATTATAATTAGAGGGGAAGGGGTGGTGGTACATGATTATACATGCAAGAAAACTTATATTGCATAATCATATCGTATCCATTATCCCCGCGTTATTACACCATGTTACACTTCCCCCAAATATCTCACGTAACCGGGTTCGGGTCACACCCACTCCATCATCTATCATAATCACAAACTTTTCATCTGCGATTTCATCGTTCGCATTCTCTTATATTTGCCCTTTTCGTATCATATCATATATCGAATACATCACCATAACCGAAACAATAATAACAACACATAATATACCCGTACACGCATTCTAGACCTCGCATCTTCGATCTTCATCTTCTTTCTCCGCGATCCTCGTCAATCTTCAAGCACTAGCAGCAGAAGTCTATCATAAATCCTATTCTACCTAGTCGCAATATACACTGGGGAACCATCATCGGTGTTCATCTGTACTCTCGAGCCCTCTTCGACCCCCCCTTCATACATCTCTAACTCCAACTCCCTTCTAAATCTCCACGCTCTCCCTTTCTCTTTCCCCCCGCTCAGCATCCATCCACATCGAAATCCCTCAAAACTACCAAAAACATAACTACGTCTCTTTACGCGTTTCTTAAGTCTCATAGAGCGCCATCACAACTCGACATGACCATACACAATCAATACACCATATACCACACTATTCAGCTAGAGACACCACGTGTGGAACTATCCAGATGCAAATTTGTAACTGCATCTCTAAGGGTTGTCGATTCAATACTACTACTTATTGGTAGGTAAATTCATTATATTGCATATCATGAGTTTCATTATCTCCCTCCCCCCCTTTATATCCTCTCTTCTCAAGTAGCTGTTCATTCATTCACCCCCCCCCCCCCCCTCTAAAAACCTATTCGTAGAATCCAAACATACAATACAACAAATAAATTTCAGCCCTGCACGATAAGACAAGACAAGACAAGACAAGAGATGAAACATTCAAAATTTTGTTACACATATTTATCCGTAACGTAAAGTAGAAATTCATATCGGAAAGAGTCAGGCCATCAACCCACCTTCCTATCCGAATACTTTTTCCTTCCCAGAATCCCCGTTCCCGGTCCATTCCTTCCCACAAGACAATATCGCCATCTATCCACCCGTCCGTTCATCTACCCCAACATATAATTGTTGCCTCCCCATACATGAAGGTTTTTATCTTCGCACCTCAATTTCGATCCGCGCACTCTAATCTGTAACCCTCCAGCTATCAAACCACTTCAACCTAGAGTATTCCCTATTAGGTCCTACCATACCCCATGAAATAGGCATGAAGAAAATGTAAAGTGCGATCGTCAAGGCGTACAAAACACCATAGATAGCATATTGCAAGGTCTTAACTTGATTTCTCAACATCCAATCCGCACAGAAACCAAATACCAAAATAGCGAAGTAAAGCGCTGGATAGTAGTGATGAACGTAAGTGACACGAGCCATGGCGACAAATGGCATATAATGTAGGAACCATCCAAGAACTGGATACAGTCCAGCATAGTGAATTTGATCAATCTCGGATTGTTTAAGCTCATCATACCCGCGTTGCCATCTAATGAGATACCAAAGAACGAGTAGGCCGAGGAGGCCTAGAGAGGCGGTAGAACCCAGTATACAAGAGGGTTACCGAGAAGGAAGTATTTGACTATATTGTCATCCCACCCACACATTCTCAATCCTACGTTGAGAATTGGCCATTGCCAAAAGTAAGAAGCGAGATCATCCTGCTTGTCAGGGTCTGGCACAAGTGCGTTATTCGAAGTCATCATAGCAACATTCAAATGAATAAAGTCGTGAATGAAAGGAGACTTGTAAGCTCCAGCATCAGCAGCAGGTACTATAAAGATGGTCAGTATATCATTTATTGTCAAGAAAAATCAACATACACTTATCGTTCCAGTGGGCTTCTACGTTCCAGTGAGTGTAAACATCCTTGGGATTGTTGTCCTTGGTGCAAGTGACTTCGATTTGCTTGAAACCCATTGTGGCAAGTTAACGTTACCAGCTCGTAAGTAGCAACCTAAACTTGTGTGCTTGAGTCGGAAAGCAGTAGTCAAGGTTCTAATTTTACTTCGATCATTTGAGGAAACATCCTTGACAACTTCCATGGTCCAGTGATCTTTGTCATCACCAACAGTGGTATTTCCATAACATGAGACTTCCTTGTCAGCCTTGGTAATAGGCGCTGACACGTCGTGTGAGTGGAGGTTGCGACCAGTTTGTGAATGAACGAAACGTAGAACATCGCCATCAGCAACATATCTGAGAGGTGCCTCTGGGTCGAATTCTGGTTGAGAACGATTAGGATAGAACCACCACTCGTTGTTAGCATCTTTATGATGGTAGCAAGTAATTTGTTGTTGGTTGGATCCTTCAGGGTAAGTCTGAACGTGGGAGTGAAGAAGACCACCGCCGTATCCCATATTCTTAATCGTTGCTCGAGAACCATATGCGATTTCAAGTGGACTATCCTTTCCAACTTCAGTTCCTCTCAAATTGGCTTGGAACAGGGAACTCATTTGAGCATCACCGGGTCCACTGTTTTGAAGAATGGCGAAGTGGGCAGCAAAAGAGGCAATGTAAACTCCAATAGGGATAACAATCAAGCAAATTACTCTGATAGCGACATGCGATGCGAGCTCGACCTAAAATATATGTTAGTACAACCAACTCAAGAAAGTAATCGGATTTGTGTTACCTTTTGCATTCTAATATTGCCAAATTTGTTCCATAAATCTTCAATCGTGTAGATACCAACCATGGTTGTGCAGAAAAGGCCCACCATCTTCACACTGCAAACACAGCCAATGCTTACACCAGTCAACAAGAGCCAAACGAACCATTCGGGAGTCCAACTTTGCTTTTGTAGATTGTGGAATTTAGCCCAGCAGAGAACGGTGGTGAATGTGAAGCATAGGAGCATGGAATCCAAGAGAATAAAGCGACTGATTGTGGTGTAGGAGTTTTCGCACAAAACCATCAATGTAACGAACCATACAGCTGGTCTCTTGAAGTTCAATTCGCGAGCAGTATAGTAAGCCAATGGAATAGTAACGGCACCGAAGAAGGCGTTGAAGGCACGCATGAAAGTGTAGTTCACATCCTCAGGATATTGTTCCCCAGATTTGAATTCGAAAGTGCCATTGTAACCTGCAAGATAACCGGAAAGACCAACCAGCATTTTCCCAAGAGGAGGGTGGACATCGAAGTAGAATTCTCTTTTGATGTAATGGGACCCAAATTTTCCAAAACTATACCCAGACATGATCAGTCCACAATCTTAGAGAGTTTCGAATATGAAGAATATGCTTACTGAGCTTCATCCCAAGTAACAATGGGTGAAAGGCCGATTTTGTATAATCTGGTGAAGAATGCGAATATTGTAAAAATCAATGGTGCGATTAAGAACTCCCACTCGTCAAGGAATCCAACTATGGATTGCTTTCCCTATAATGAATTAATTTCATTAGTCTATTGGCCCCAATGCTATCGAGGCAGAACCCTTCAAGGTTTGCTCACCTTCTTGACTTGTGTCTTCTTGTCATCTATCTCCACCGTGTTTACAAGACTTCCATTGGATGATGGTACATTGCGTCGACGGGTTGTTTGAGTGTGATCCGCACCAGAAGCAACAGCTGTCTTATCGGAAGCCATCTCGAAGATCTGCGAGCGGTTTCGAGAAAGAAGCTTCCTCCCTCCCTATAATGTATTTCCCAAGGTGACTCTCAATTGTGATATGATTTGCAGTGGCAGTATAAAGTTCGTGGCCCAAGTTTAAGGTTGCGGCTGTCAAATGTCGAGAGTCGCAACTTCAAAAACTTCTAGAGAATGTCGGAGAATTGAAGAAGAGTAAACTAATTAACAAAGGTTTGCATCTCTCCACAAATTCTAAGAGTAGATTTGCAGATGGATAAGAGGAAGAAGAAGAGGAGGAAGTATGTAAAGACGTAATCCCTTGTGAAAGTTTGTAAAAAGGAGTCGAGCTCAAAAGATTATACTAAATCTACCTTGCTTGAATTCAATTGGGGTATCTAAATTTAGTGCACCACTCCCACATATACCCGAAATCTGTCCTTCTCTGCTGACGAGGCTGAAGCAAGTAGATGGAAATACATTCTACCTGATTATTTATTGCAATTTTCTTTTCACGGCAGTCTAATTTATTATATATCAAAGTGCCACTCATTAGTTATTCGGGGTACATATATTAATACACCAAGCTATGTTTGGAACTTCAGAAAGGCACAGTTTAAACCAAAGTACGCACGTTTTTTGGATCACAGCCTGTGAGTGTCAACGTCAGACGAAATTATAACACGGGGCTAATTACAGTAGCTAGGCTAGCTTCCATCATTAGAAAGTTCTTAGACTTTGTTAAATTCGATGCACATGTCATTAATATTGGAAAGAGTTAAGCTTTAGCTTTTGAGACCCTTATAAATTGTAAAATGTCTGGCCACTAGAAATAATCTACAAATTCCCATAAATTCACATTCTATATGTGCTCTAGATGGCACTGGTATTACACTCTCTCCCTCGAGCTTCCATGTACGCCCGCTTGTTGCTAGTTCCAATCTAATATCGTATATCCTACGAGTACAGCCGCTCATTCCTCGTCTTGATCTAATGGCTTATATTTCCCACTTTTGATGCTGTCTCCTTCGCCTTTGTTTCTGTTTACCATACGTGATATCCACCCCCAACACCTTCTCCAGACTCTTCATCTGCTCCATATTGAGGCTTTCCATTGACGATAGAAACATTTGGTGGGTCGATATCAAGACCTGGAATGGCACTTGAAGGTCCAATACCATTTGGACCTCCATAACCACGTCTCAGGTCAACAGAAGGAACGGGTGAACTGATGCCCATCAACGAGCCGCTCTCGGCTCTGGTAGCTGGTGTGGGCATTGCTGTGGTCGCGTCGCCAAATATCATATCCATATCTTCCAATCGTACACCAGCCGTCTCGGGATAGATGAAATACACTGAAAGTTGTTAGATTTTTTTTGTTTTGATGGGGAATTGCACTGATCTTACCAACGACAAAACTGGTTGCGCAGAAAAATGCATGAACCAAGTACAAACGCCATGTGATCAATTCTTGTAGAATAGGCGTCAATTCTCCTACGAGCCAATTGAAGGCCCAGTTAGTGGCGGTAGACAAACTGGCTCCTTTGGATCGAATGCTGAGGGGAAGAATCTCGGGTGGATAAAGCCATGGGATTGGTCCCCAACTGAATCCAAAAGCGCCGTTATATATCATGACAAATAGAACAACCAGGGTCGGCGTAGCCTTTATGTCCAAGAATAAAAAGTAAGAGATGCAAGATAGCGATATAACCATAGCTATTGCGCCACTAAGAAGAATGAAGCGTCGGCCCCAGCGGTCTACAAGATACCATGGTGGTATGGTACACAGGAAGTACGTGATAGCGTTGATTCCCGTCATTAAAATTGCTTGGCGACCACGCCAACCTGCGGATTCGAAGACAAGCGGCGCATAATATGAAATAACGTTAATGCCATTAAGTTGAGCGAAAGCCTGGGCTGACATGGCAATGAAGACACGAGTACGATATCGTCGAAACATATCTTTGTAGGATTTCTCGCCCTCCTGACGAGCCAATAAAACATTCATCTTAATTTCTCGATATTCTTCTCGTGCCTTTTGATCATGGATGTCACCACCACCATACAAATTAGCAATGACTACCATACCTTCCTCATCGTGGTCGTTATCCAAAAGCCATCTGATACGATCATTAGTCTCAAGTATATTTCATATAGCAAATAATACATACCTAGGTGACTCGACAATGATCAAACTTCCAACACCCAAAAGTGCTCCCATAACACATTGCATCAGCAGAGGTATTCTCCATGACATATTTCCCTTAATGAAACTGCAGAAATAATCCACCCATACGGAGGTTGCATATCCTGTGATGTTGCCCGAGAATTCAATACAAGCAAGTTTTCCGCGGTTATGTGGGGGTGATATCTCGGACTGGTATATGGGAACAATCGTGGACAGCATACCGACACCCACACCTGCAATGATACGGCCAAGCATCATCATAGGCATGCTAGTGGCTAATGTCTGAAGTGCGCCTCCAACGAAGAAGATGCAGGAGCCATATAAGATTGTCTTTCTTCGACCTATTATATCACCGACCTTCCCGACGACAAGCGATGAAACGAATGCGCCAATTTCCAAAATAGCAACCATGGTACCGACTTCGGCTCGAGAGGGCTGATTGAAATAATCCTTGAAGTAAGGACCGCTACAAGGCGATTAGCCAGGAACTGGAAATCCAAGTAGTTACAGCAATACATACGTGATAATGCCAGACATAACTCCCTGATCATATCCAAAAAGGAATACACCTAATGATACAAAAATACTAGTAAAATACCTGCCTCATTGTCAGTTCAGTGCATAGAGCAAATCAATCAAGGTCCTTACACTAATGGCCGGCCTGTCAGGCCGTGCATCTGCCTCTCACCTCCCGACATGATTGCGGCTAGAATATGCTCAACTCGACTTATTCTTCGAGGGCCAGGATCTGGTATTTCGATATCCTCTTTAACAAGTCCAGGATGGTAATGTTTTTCTTGTTTATCGGTAGCCTCGTCGTTATATCGAACTCTTTTTCTTGTTTTTCTCTTGGAAGAGCCGCCAAAAACCTCTTCGTCAAGGGATGCTCGTAATCGAATTTGCAACGGGTCTTCCTCGTCTGCGAGTTGCTCTGCAAGATCGCCTGTGTCACTCCACGAGAATTCGGAACCAGGTGACGTTGAGCGCGAAAGGGAAGACCGCCGACCCTGTTTCTCGTCCGAGCCCAGCAGTCCTTGGTTAGGATTCAATCGACTTGCCGAGGACAACGTTCGTAATGGTATATTAGCGGGACGACGAGATGATTTCGGAGAAGGAATGTTGAAGGTAATTGAGCTGTAGCAGCAGCCCAAATCGCGCGGAGTTGGATTGGTGGGGAAAAGTCGGGGTAGGGAGTTATTCACGAAGTGGATGAGATGGCACGTCACTAACACCGAGACCCTGAATGGCCGTGTTTGTTTAATTGTGGATCCCACACGGTGAGATGGATATTCATATGATAAGAAAAATGAAACAGAAGAGACTTGGGCGTCTGTATCTCCCTTTCAATTCGTAGTACAAGCTTGTGATTTAATACGATGTTGGTTGATGATGTTGAAAGAAGGCTGTGTGTTGTCGACCTACTGATATGGGCGGATGACGAGGAGTTTAAGGTACGCGGACCATAGAACGATCCTGCAATTGAGAACTGGTGCTTAACTACTGGGTATGATACTAGATGCGGAGCCCTTTACATTGGATGTGTCACGTGGTGCTTACTACATGCTATATTTGGACAATCACAACTCCCCCTTTTCTTCTCATCAATTGTATTATCTTGACAACGGCTTGGTTCAGTCGCATTGTAAGATACGTAAGATACTTCGAAAGTCTCAAGAAGTCTCAAAAAGTAAGCGTGCTTAAGCTAGCTTGCCTCGAGCGTGCATGAACTCAATCATTTTACAAAAGAATACCTTGATAGGAGGTAATAGGTATGCTCGGTGTGGACGGAATTGCATGCACAGTAAATCACACAAATCAAGGAATCAACAAAAACACACTTCTGTCTAGATATGGAATCTTGATAACGAATGTCTTCCGAACCCAATAAAACTTGAACTTTAAATCAATGATAAGATATTGAACAACTTCCTTCTACTTTCGAAGAGAAATGGTGATCGCTTACTCAATACTTGATTTGGAAAGGGCATTTGACTTGAGTGTGTCCATCACCGTCACCCAGCTGTAAAGAATTGTGCTTGTGATCTGGGCTGATACCAGCAGGATGAAAAACTGGGACACCCAAGAAGTGCACTCTCTTCGATATTCGATACCAGATCAGATAATCATTATCAAGAGCCGAATGAACATATTTGCAAGCTTTGAATATAATATCACATGGTTTTCTTTAGACTTTTACACCCAAAAAGAAGAAGATTCGAATTCTTTTTATTTTCTCAAAAAACGCTTTATGATCCTCATACTCAGTTGCTTCATCTGTATATTTATTTGTTTCCTATTCTGAATAGAGTAAATTGTACTATTGAGTATCTTGATTATTCTAGTATATGTTATTTTACTATTATAGAATATTCCTACAAATATTCTCCTGTAAATGCATTCCTATTTTTAATCGGAAAGAGAATGAAGCAAAGCTTACAAATTAAAGGCTTGAGATTCTCGAACTTTGGTACGAACTTTGTATTTCTGTATATATTCCAGACTCTACTTCGCTCTCCGATAACAAGATCGAAGGTTCGTAGGATGCACCACGTACAGATGAGACTCATCGCATCCCTGTAACTTTGGGAACAAGCACGTCCTAGGATCCAAGATCACGTGGTAAAGTCCATGGAGCCGAATTCTTGAGGATTGGGATCCAGCGGCGTTGGTCTTCCACTCTTATTAAGTAGTTCAATATGCTTCGTTCGTTCAACCAGCTGGAGCGATAAATAACTTATTCTCGAATAATATGCAAAATTACGTGTCGCTCTCATGACAAACAATCGCGACACCTTGATAGGCCTCGTCAAATGAGAAGTGTTGTGATTTTTTGAGTCATCAAGTCTTGGCGCTCTGGGCAGCAATCTACTTTAGATAGAAAATCCTCCGACCTCCCGTTTACTTCGTTCAACCTCCATTTTGTTGTAATCATGCCTCAGTCCCCACCCCCGCTCAACCACGATACAACCAGAAATACGTTGCGTACGCATCCTTATTTTGACAAGACGCCTTGTGAGAAATGGGATGTTGTGGACTTCTGTGACAAAATATACAAGGAATTGGGCTATGTGAAGTACAATATATCCAATGTCCACAACTGCTGGCGGACGTCCATACAACACCTACAGAATAGCGAGGATCCCAAAATTGCTGGGATGGCTAGTAAACTGCGGGCCGCATGGGTTCTTTCAGTAAGTTGATTCTTCGAGCTACAAAACTAATATTTACGCATCATCTGTATCGCAGGATGCCTTCGTGGCGTCCTGGTCAACGGTACACCGAGGCGCATATCGCAGCCTGCCTTCGCGGCCGACTGAGAAACGATTGTGTACTCTTTGGGTGTGGCTTCTTCGCGAAGACCCCTCGCTCCTGGGTTGCTGTTGACCTTCGTGGCCATCAGATTCACTAGCCCAGTCGAGCTTGATGTTTGTTAATAGGCATTCTTTGGCAGAGCCCGAAAAACGATCAGCAAAGGGCCAAGAATTTCATCAGGGCAATAACGAGAAAGCGTGGACGACGCAAAGTCGCCAACCATGGGCCTACTACTATCGCTATCAACCAAAGTAGTATTATGTTGAATTCTTCGCAAACAGGAACCACTATTGTGTTGGTGTTCCCTCCAAGGATAGTCGAACAACAATCATCGTTAACAATTCTACACGCATAGTGGAGCTTCTATCTTTCAAGATGACCCGGACGCAAATTGTGCCGATTCAGAAGCTGATAATGATCCCAATAATTTTAACGCGACTGTTGACTCCAGTATCGACAAGCAGGACTCACTGGCAATAGAAGTCTCCGACACGAAGAGGCTTCAAGAAATCCTTGGTTGCTTGGATGATTCTCGCATGACCCTTACTAATGACAAGAAGATGTTACTCACCCATGGCAATGTTTACCTTCAAGATGTCATGCTAGATTATGCCGGACGCACTGGCAAAGTTAAGCCAATTCATTTTGGTATCCTGGATGCCGAGTCCATCACGACACTGGGTCTTGTGCGAGAAGATTATGAGCAGATCACAGACTGTGTTGAAGAATCACCGCTCCCTAGGTTTCCCCTGGAGTTGCTTCAGGCCCTCGAGAAGTATGAGAAGGTCAGTCAGTACTTTTGCCTTTAGGTTTTCGGGGGACTGATAACTGATGATTGATGACTTTGATAGGCGAATTCCTATGAGCACTCATGCCGAATCGAACGCACAATGTCTCATAAGGGTGATATCAAATGGATCGGTGATGTTTCGTGCCACATGTGAATTACACGCCGTCTTCGCCCTATATTATAGGCTGATTTTAGAGCAGTGTCCGGCTTTTAGAGAACTCCGGAATGATCTTGGATGAAGAGCTGAGTGAAGGGGTTTGGGATTGTTTGGTTTATCCTCGCTTCCTGGACGAAGTTTTCTGCGAGATTCCAGAGCTTGTCCTTCAACGGTAAACCCTCATCTCAATTGTCTGCTCTTTCATTTGTCTGCTTTGGCTAATAATCAACATCGTTGCAGCAAAGAAATTTCTCTCTCAGCAACTCGCTACCAACCGTACTCCTACTTCGTCAACGAACCTCGTTACGATGCGATCGCACGCCGTCGTAAGCTATCTGCTGACGGCAGCTCTCAATCTTGTTACGAACTGCTTGTCTTGGAGACAATTCGCAAATGGGAAGGGCAACTTGCTCCGAAATGGCTCAACGACTTTGATAAGCTTGTGGGTGGCCTGAGAGCGATGCTGTGCCACATTGGCGAGTTGGTAGAAAACGACCCTACAGTTATGAAGAAGATAAAGGTGGTTGGCATACTACAAGCTGGTTAGGATATTGTCTGTTGCTTAGTACTTCTTTGCTAATCATGCTAGGTCGTCGACACCAGCTTCTTATTATGTCTTGTATTGGCAAGGACGTATTTTACTTGAAGTGTGGTCATATACATGAGCTTCCGGGGGAGCTTAAAGACATGAAGAAGTTACAATACATCTTCGCGTCATACTGGAAAGCACGGGTATGCACCTTGGTTCCCTCGTTCTCTTCGAAATCTCATAATCTTTGTAGGAAATTGTTCGATGTGGTGTTCGGCTTCTAGAAGAATTTTTGCACCAAAATTTAGAGCAGGATCAGAAGGCTGTTAATATTTTGTCTCCAAACTTCCTTTAAATTTTCTGTGATTAATAATCATAATATAAATGAAACGCATAATGCAAATTATACATATACAAAACTATGTTATCAACCATAGTATCTGAGGATTTTAGGCTTAATTGTCAGCAGACATTAGTAGAATATCGGGGACGGAACGATGGCACGTGACACATAGATTGATAGAAAGTCGAGCAGGCTACCCGAGATCGACTGAAAGACTATCGAGCAGTTCATCCAACAGAGAAAGAAGGTCTATATAAGTAGAATGTATTTCCTGAGTATATGGAGCCTCGTGCTCTACTTAAATAGTGATCTCAACCGTTATTTCGTTACTTCTGGATTGGAAACAGGTGTTCAATTCCCTGCTTGAATGCTTCAATACACAAACCCTACAGCACTCCACCACATCCATATGAATCGAGAATTTTCGACATAATACTCCTTCTGAATTCTATCCCCCAAAATGTCGTTTACGGGCGTCGTCGCTTAATAGAAATCTTACTGATTAACCAAAACATTTGGATTTTGAGGATTCTTATTTTATGTTGATAAGCTCACGACCCAACGAGGCATGATGTATTTATTCTTCATTTCAGTCTTGAGGAAAGAAGCGCCGAATCTAAGATGAAATGAATTTGCCTTGATACCTACTTGGTATTGTTGCACTCTGCTCGAGTGTAATAATATCTTTTCACGAGTTTGGTAAAGCCGTAGTCGGCATACAGGGTGTCATTCTCCGCCGGCTGAAGATGGGATCGGAAATCAGTTGTTACAATAGTTGGTATTGGACTTTGCTGCTGGGATGGGAAGATTCAGACCCATCTGGAGCTTTCGACAGTCCAAACAGAGCTTCCTATCAGCGGAGGTATTCCATCCCTGACACTGCTCTGGGTACTGGATGTTATTAAATGTTTTTGATAATTCAACAAGTTCAAAAAATGAGGTCAAGCTCAAATATTCATATCTCTTGTATTGTGGGAGTAGTCAGGAACTATTGATTGATAGACTGTAGATCTTTGTCCCACTAGTTGAGTGAGGTCTGGAGAATAGTATTGCGGATATATGACGAGATGGTGGAATGAGATGAAATGAATGGCTAATCGCAATATAAGTGTGAGATATAATCTCATCTATGGAGCTTGAGACTTGATATCGGCGAGTAGAGTAACCTTTAATTCTTATCGTTTGTTTCTGATCATATATTTCAAGCTCGGCAATGCTACCGATCATCTCTGAAGTTGTTTCGAATAGATGTTGTAGATATAATCGTCGCCAAGAGAGTGTCCGCCCTGGGAGACACAAGGCTATCGTTGGAGTTGCCAACATCGAAGCTGAAGGGAAGAGGTCAGCAATTCTCCCAGTCCTCGACGCGAACCTCCCGAAATCTGAATTGAGAACTTAGAAAAGATCACTGTGAATATGAGTGAGGTCTCCTGAACCCTTCATTTACCCACTGTCGCAAAAAAACATACAAGTGCTTGATGATCTTAGAGCTAAACACAGAAGGGTAAGAGAGCCTTGTAGGCGCTTAAAGTAAAGGAATTGAAGATCCCATCAAGTACCGTACCCGTAGCATCATTCCAACGGCTGTCCACCATTTCCGACAGGTGGAATATGCAAACACCATTCTAGAAGATTATTCGCAGAAGTCATTTTTTTTTGGAACTACCAACGAACTTAAAATCGGCGAAAGTAAGGATTAGCGTATCAAGCAAGGACAAGTTTTTCTCTTCCATTGATTGATTAATTCTGGTACTTCGCGACAACGATAGTAGATCACAACACTTTTCGTACGAGTGCAAAATACCAAAACCGGTACCATCAATTTTCCATTCTCAGCGAAGTCTTGAACTTTCAACGGGCTCCGGAATTTCCGATTCCCAGGTGGCTTATACCTACCTAGTATACAATGCACTTTATGCATGAAATCGGTGACGAGGGGGGAAACCATTTCGTGGCGGCTGCTCTATTCAAAACCTGGCAAAGAGGAAAAGGCTGAGTGAGTTTCAACTTTGAAGCCTTCACACAATGGCAAGAATAGGCATATTTTGCTGCCCCATTCACCACCGTTCGCAAATCATGATCCCTCCAAGGATCTAGGGAGAAATGGACAATAAAATAAAACATTGAAAACTTTATATTGCAAATATGTACATGGTATGAAATTACCCCTCTCAATGATTCCTTCTTAAGTTCCTACCTCTTCTTTACTTTTTGCAATGCTGGCTCAATCACATTTCATCTTACCTGCTGTAACCATTCGATATCCGATTCGACCTTGCTCCGACCAAAATCATTTCGCTACCACGGAATAGCCATCTCGTCCAGGTAACGAGCCTTTTCAAGAACCAGGGATTGATGGGATTTTTCTGAAGAAAAGGAAAGCTTTCCGGGATTCGAGTGGTCTGGGGCCCCTGCACAAATCAAAGTGGTCGAATTATACTGCCAAAAAGAGGTAGAAGAGAGTAAAACAGGCTACGGTGACCAGCCTTCGCCCTTTTGACCAGCGCATTTTGCATCAAGGGCAATTCACTTCCCCGTTCTTGAATTATTCCACGCTCTTGCACACACAATTATCACTCTCAATCTCTAATCTTATCCAAGTTATACTTTTCGTATACTTTCTCAACTCTCTTCATTGTGTCGAATGTGTCAAGATTGAAATAAGGCAAAAAATATACTCGCAATTACGAAACTCGATTCTGCATCCAGGGTTTACTTCAAACGATCCGCGCGAACACCAATATAAAACAACCAATCTAGCGGCTTGTTCCTGAATTCGAGCGCTTCAAATATTAATTGGAGAAGCTGAGGAAGGGTCGAAGCTGAGGGGTTCAAGATCAATTCATCAGGAAAGAACAATACGACAAACAGAAACCACTGGAATGGGAACTGAGAATCAACACCATCAATCAATTTTCCACTCACAAATACAAATCAATCACAGTTTAAACAAACACGCGCATTGAGGTTTCGCAATTGCGAGACGAATCAATTTTACTCTTTTGTTTTACAGAGCAACAAATACAACAGTTTAAATATAATCGAAAATATCTTGCGCGCAATTGCGAATTGTTGGTTCTGTTAAGAGAAAATGGGTTCAACACAGTTTGGAAATTTCCATGTGAGTAGATCTTTGCATAGCACAATGGCCATTGAGATTGATTACTGACAAACATTCCATTTAGAACTTCTGCCGTGACTCGACGTTACCAGTCTGCAACGTTCGTACCACTCCCCAGTTTCAACAATATGATTCGCAATTCAGCGTTGCTAACCGGACTTTTAACAGCTATTCAATCCTCCCACCAACAGTAATTTCGGATACGGAGGCTGCGAGCTGACGGGTATATCGTTAGGCGGTGGGAAATATCTGGGCAATTTGGGTTCGTTCTGTTCCCGAGAATCAATGATCGGAAAGTCATCAACTAACGCCTCCGAAGGTTCGATATTAATTGCAGGAATTGCGATTGTAATCAGTGCATTCTTAATATGGCGGTCCGACCGAAAACAAGCAGCAGTGGGAAGAAGGTTTGTTAACATTCTCAAAATTATATTTGATTTGCATCAGTCACTTACATCTTGTCATACAGGGAAATGCAGCTCTTCCTCCTAGGTTATATAATCATCGAAATATGTGAAATATTTACTGTTGGCGAATTCCCATTGAGCGCAACTGTTCGGATAGTAAGTAGGACCAAGCTCTCAAGACCCATATGTGGAAGCTGATTGTTACCCCAGGCCTTTACCGGTATCCACCTCGGAATGATTAGCGCAACATTATGGATCTTGATGCTGAATGCTGTTGTGGGCTATCAGATAATCGATGATGGAACAGCCATGTCATTGGGTCTGATGGTTGCTTCAGCAGCAGTTATATTTATCGGAACTGGATACATTGCCCTCGATACTGGATACAGCTGGACCGGGCATTTCGATTCAAGCTTGACTGGTCAAGGCAATGGCCAAAATCGAAACATTGCTCTCTACGTCCTGTACCAACTCGCACCATTGGTGTTTTTGTTTGTGTTTTTTGCCCTAGAAACAGTCTTGGTCATCAAAGTTTTGGGCGAGCGTAAGCCCATGATCTTCTTAACGGGTGCTGCGGTTTTATTCGCTCTTGGCCAAATTTTCAATTATGTTATTAGCCCTCACATTTGCAACGGCACGAACGGAAAAATTGATGGAGCTCTTTTCGAGACGCTCTTCACTTTACTCTCTGTGGTAATGGTATGGACCTTTTGGTCAAGCATCACAGAAGACGATTGGCCAATGCCAGTCACCAACACATATTCATGAGGAATTTAAGGAAATCAGGGAGCAATGGAGTTAGGAATTTTGTTATAATGCGCATACGAAAGTCTTACGACAATATTAGTTTAATACCCGATGTGGTACATCTTGCTACACAAAAAGCATGAATATTGGCTCAAGGATAGCGCGTATTACAGCAGCTACAGCTCTTGTCTATGGGGTAATGAGGACGGAGAATTTCACGCCACACGAAAATGGGGGCGGAAGTAATAACGACAAGGGCGCAGCTAGGAACGATTATATGAATTGGCGGAATGGCTTGTATAACGATTTTGCGAGTATTATACCCAACATTGAACTTATAATAGGAGGAGACAGAACTTAATTCAGAGCATCAAAGTAGACCACTTTATTACCACATACTATATGCGATTCAAGGCTCTTGTGCCCCACTCATCTCAGATTTGAATGCATGCATGGCAGCTTATTAGTAGGATAGATCTTCAATCGCGCAGACTCGCATACTCAATCTAAGCAGGTACCTATGCCTTAGCTAGATATTCTGAGAGCTTGAATGTGACGCACTCTGTCATCTAGGTCTTGATGACCTTGATCCTGGACTCTAATATCCACCATACACTGGGAACTATTTATTAATCTGACGATTACAATGACACATGCAATCTTGTTTTAAGACTGGATAATGCATTATTGAATGTCAGTACGGCGGTGAACATAGTCAACCAATCACTACTATTGGGTAGGTAGTTGCTTATTTTTAAAGTTTTTCCCCAGATAACTCTCCCTACACACAAGGCTGCATAAAAGCATTGATGCTCTTGCTCTCCTCGGCAATTAACTGCTCCACTAAATTGTCTAGGAAGCTCTAGCCTTGACATTTCTGAAAGACATCAATCAGCCTTGTCCTCTTCCAAATAATCAACTAAAGATTTTATTTGCCATCCAATTCAGTTCTTCCATTTTTTACAACCACAAGAATGGCAGACTCTGACGGTGAATATGTCGAGGATCTCTCAGATGATGATATTGGAGCACCCGCCAATGTAAATGCTGGGCATGGCACTCGATCTACTGGAGCTGCCACAGGCGCTGGAGGGTCAACTGCCAAAGAAAAAGCCGCAAATGGCGGTGGTAATAGGCGGAAAGCTGCATGGGAAGATATTCAAAGAAGTTGGGATACTGTAGTCGAAGGAGCAGATGGTAGTATTAATTCTACTGTTGAGGGGTTAAGGGAAGCTAACAAAAGGAAGAGGTAAGAGGAGCTCTCATTTTGGAATGTTTTCACAAGTTGACAATGTGCTGATAATTGACCATTCCAGATTATTGAGAGATACGACGCCCTTACAGCGAGGTATTATTCGCCACTTCATTCTCATCCTTGACCTCTCCTTCGCCATGACAGAGAAAGACATGCGCCCCACGCGTTACCTTCTCACCATCCGTTACGCAAGCGAATTCGTTACCGAATACTTCGAACAGAACCCCATCTCACAACTCGGGATTATTGGCATGCGCGATGGCATTGCAGTGCGCATTTCAGATATGAGTGGAAATCCCACCGAACATATTGAACGATTGAAAGCTCTCCGCGTAGATCAGGGTCAAGGAAATCCCAGTCTACAAAATGCTTTAGAGATGAGCAGAGCTGCACTATTTCATGCTCCAAGTCATGGTACGAGGGAGATACTTATTATATACGGTGCGCTACTTTCAAGTGATCCAGGCGATATCCATGAAACGATTTCCTCGCTCATAACGGATCGCATACGAGTTAGTATTGTAGGACTTGCAGCCCAAGTTGCCATTTGCGCCGAACTATGCTCGCGCACTAATGCTGGGGATGATACCGCATATTCTGTTGCATTGAATGAAGAACATTTCAGGCAATTAATGATGGCAACTACAACCCCCCAGTCACGCGTACAAAAAAACAGTCACAGAGTAGTTTACTTATGATGGGTTTCCCATCTCGAACACTCGACCCAGGAAAAAGCATGAGCTTTTGCGCATGTCATGGGAAGTTAAGTAGAGGAGGTTATCTATGCTCGCGTTGTGAAAGTAAAGTGTGCTCACTGCCAGCGGAATGCCCGGCATGCGGCCTTACTCTTATTCTCTCCACCCATTTGGCCCGCTCATATCATCATTTATTCCCCTTGCGCAATTGGGTTGAAGTTCTTTGGAAAGATGCCGGAAAATCCAAAGGGTGTTATGGGTGCCAAGTAACTTTTCCCCAAAGGGACGCACATGAGAAAGGTGCCTCCGAGCAAGCAATGAAGGGCATGAGCGAGAGTGGGAGGTATGCGTGTGAGGTCTGTGGTAATCACTTTTGTATCGATTGTGATGTCTTTGCCCATGAGGTAGTGCATAATTGCCCAGGCTGTCAGAGTGATACAAGGGGCTTGATTAGCGGTGTTGATGGGAGAGGTGGGGGAGCTCCAGCGAGGAGTGTGGAGAAGGATATAGATGCTATGGTTGAATGATCAGCATCTAGTCTGACAGTTCAAATGCACGCGCAAATGGGGAAAATAAAAGTTGGCGTCAGGGCGAAAGCATAGGTGACTGGGATAAAATTCACGGCTTAATGATTCGCTCAACAAATACTAAAGGGAAATAGTGATCAAATGAAATAATACTAGCGAAACTAGAGGCGAGGCGAACTGAGGCGTTTAGCGGATTGGGTTATATTTGAATAACACAGTAGACTGCTAGTTAGCTTGGTAGATATTTCCTTAGGGAAATGTCTTTACACAAGTGGAAGATAGGCAAAATATGCTGTGGATAGTAATGCAAAGAAAGTTGAGATGGCGAGGCTAGCAAAATTGCGAAGGACAAATCCCTACTAGTAACCGCTCGTCTTTCACATCGAGGCATCGCAACTAAAAGATTATTTGTTTATCAAATTTGAATAGCATCAAAATGTGTCATACACGCATATCCACGATTTCTCCGGTTCACTTCTCATAAGAAGTAGTCGACTGTTGTATTTAGTAGCAGTATGTGATATAGAGTCGTCGAATCGTTCTTCCAAACACGTTCAAGCAAATTGTAAACATTCTGATGATACCATTAAAGCCATGATTTCACACCAGCCATCGCGTCCTCGCTTCTCACCTCTCAGACCTAAAAGTCGTCACCACCACCGAAATCATCTCCTCCGCCACCGTTATCTGCACCATCCTCGTATCCTTCATTGTACTCATTTTGATCATGATCTTGGATTCTATATGAAGCCAGTTAGTATTTCGTTTCAGAATTTCCAGTACAAAATGGAAGAGAGTATCCAAACTTACGCATCCTCGAGCAACATTCCACCAATCAATCCTCCACCCAATCCTAATGCCGCACCTCCGGCCATTCCCATTCCCCCGCCGCTCTTTTGTGGCCTCTGCTGCTGATAGCCCCCTCCATAACCACCTCCATACCCTTGTTGTGGGGGTAACCCTGAGGTGGATAACCTTGTGGTGGATAGCCTTGTTGTGGATACTGTTGCTGTTGGTATCCACCATACTGTGGTTGTTGCGCATACTGCTGTTGATACTGTTGCTGCGGCGCACCTGAACTCGAGCTCGAACCACTAGTTTTTCCTAAAAGTTTTCCAAAAAATCCCTTTTTCTGTTCGCGCGGAGGTAGTTCTTGTTGCGAATAGGAAGGCATAGGAGTGTTTTGATAGTCTTGCTGGGCGTTGCCGCGCATACCACTGCTTGAACCCCCACGAGCATCTTCTTCGGCTTGCAAACGACGGGCAAGTTCGGCGTCGCTTTCGGTGTTGGGAGAGGGGTCGTAGGGATTGCTTTTGTTGTCGGAGGGGTAGGTAGAAGAGCCACCGGAGTATCCTGGAGGTGGACCGGGAGGAGCGCTATCACCGGAAGGATAGACAGGTTCGGTGGGTTTGTCCCAGGTAGACTTCTTGGTGTAAATGTTTACATAGAACCTAGTTTCTTATCAACTTCCATAGTGTAGTTGAAAAGGATGAGATTAATACACACCATTCTTTGTATTCGGCGTTCCATATTGCTTTGTATCCTTCAGGAACTTTCGGAGGCGGAGGACCGGTAGGAGGGGCAAAATCATTCATCTTAAAGTTGGTGCTTCCTTCTGAGTCTGTTGTTGTAAGATCGACAGGTGTTTTGGAGAAACAAGATGGTTAAATTCCGTGAAAAGTATCTGAATAAAATATAGGTGTCAAATGACTGTCTTGTATGAAAAGAAGGACAGTGAATGGCGAAACGATGATGAAATCAGGGTGCCCACTCAGCCACAGCAAGATAGCTGATGAGGGGTTTAGCGTATGCACAGTCCTATGGAGTGCCTAAGTCAGGGGGGAGAACTTGGCTACAAACTCCAGTCTCAGCTAATTGTCGTGCACCAGTACTAAAATTGTAGAGCACTTGGGATACTTAGGTATGTACTTCAAAAAGCTTCGTTTTGTTGAGTAGACACGATTGTATTTCCAGAATCATAATCACAATTTCATCTACATGAAAGAAAGATAATCAAATTCAATAAAATACCATTGACTTCGCAGCGCAGCCACACTTGTTATCTTCTGACCCAATCCCAGACGTCATTCCCAAGCGAGCTAGCAACCAATACCCGCCACTTTCAATACTTAATCACCGCCAACCTTGTACTCAGCTTCACCACAACAACATCAAATATTATAGAACAAAATCAATCATGAAGTTTTCTCTCAGTGTTGTTACTCTGCTCTTCAGCAGCACTTTTGTCGCTGCAAGCCCTTTTTTCAGTAACGGTCAAACCGTTCTTGACGATAAGCAAGCTGTTCCTGGAAACAACCCTCTCACCTATTGCAATGCCGATCATTCGTCTGATATCCTATCGCTCGACCACGTCAATTTGAATCCCAATCCTCCAACTGCGTACGCAAAAACTGTAGAATCTTGGGACGTCAAAACAGAAGCTAATTAGACAACAGTGGGAATAAACTTACCATCGAGGCGGTCGGCACCTTGTCGCAGACATTGGAGAAGGGTGCATACGTTCGCTTGCAAGTCAAATATGGCTTGATTCGACTTATCAGTATGACAGAGGATCTGTGCGATCAAGTATCTAACGTCGATTTGAGTTGCCCGATTGATGCTGGAAAGATTACAATCACAAAGGATGTTGATCTGCCAAACCAGATCCCTCCCGTAAGTCTTCAAGTTGTACTATATTTCATTATTCTTCTTCTAACTCATCATATCAGGGAACTTACACCGTCTTCGCCGATGCATTTACTGCGGATGATGAACCCATTATTTGCTTACAAGCAACGGTTACGTTTTCACGTTAGACCACCCCAATACTAGATAATAGCTACATAATACCCTCAAATTGTACTTAGGATTTCGCGGAAAGCAGAGATTTGCATGTGGACTGTATTAGGTCGATGAATAATGGTGGATGAAGGAGTTTACTTCCTGTGAATCCCTCGCCCTGTGTCTTGACAGATACCTCTGATCACGGGGTCTTTTATTTGCTTCTGGGTGCGCCGTTCTCATGAGAACTGAATATACGAGAATTAATGATTTGGATTAATACAGAAGTCTCTATCTTGATGTCCCGCTCCACCAATTCATTACATGCCAGTCATATGACATGGAAAATGCTTAGATTTTGATGATTTGTTGGACCTATGTAATTCTTCAATGCTATGATCAGTTGATTCTGATGCTAAGTTATGTATACTTTGAAAGGCCACAAGGAAATGCATGTGCACGATTTCATAAACTGGCATACTCTTGTATTCATTTGCTTGATATCAATAACCCCATGACGGTGTTAATCTCGAAAACGCCCAACTCTCTAGCCATATAAACACACAGTCCTACCCATAACACACAATCTCCCCTAAAACTACTACAACTGGCCCTCACTCTCCAAAGAGTCTTCGAACTCTTCTTAGAACACTATCCTTCTCTGGATCGTATGGGTGATCTTTACTTGGTATTTCCAACAATGCAGGGAATGCGGCTGTGTATGTATCTACTCGATGGCGTATACGTTCCGCAATCTGTAAACCTTCTGTTAGTCTTGCGTACTCTGTAGCTAATTGTAACAACTATCTTACATGTTGGTTGATCAATAAAATACCAATATCCTTCCTCTCAGTTGTGAATCTCTCAAAGGCTTCCTCAATTGCAGCATTATCTGTCTTGTTATCGACAACGAGGAAGTTCTTCTGCGAGTCTGGCGGTGAAGTGACATGCTATGCCTTCATCAGTAATCTCTTTCTTGGACGACAACTCCGTAGAGTAAAACAAGATATCTCATACACCAATGCCTGCCAACAACAGTCCAGTTACAGAGTCCTACGAGGCTGGTTAGCAATATTCACAACAGCTTGGATCGATTTAAAGCTCACCTCATCACCAATAACGGCAAGAAATTGCCTATCTTTATAGGCAGATGCTGGAGCTGCCATATTGTCTGTGTTTGTTTGATATACTTATCCAAACAATCAATCCAGTGGCAGCGTTAAGCAAGGTGAGCTCTCGGGCCCCACTAAAGTTCTGCGCTAGCGTACGGCACCCCTGGCTGCAGCTACCATGACCCACGTCCAAAATATAAATCATCCCCCCAGAACGCCTCTGTAGTAAACAACAGGAACGGATATCGCAAGGAAGCAAATTCGATTGCAATAACTCATCGAGTTTACGATTGTCGCTCCTTTTGCTGACGTTCAATGATGTGAAGATATCATCGACGTCTTTTTCATCATGCCGCGACTTGTGCGCCGAAGACCGCTTCGTGAACGGATTACAGATTGGTTTAATATTCAGGATTGGTTATTATGGATATCGGAGGAAATCGAAACAAGAGATTGGGATTCGAAAGCATATGCTAATCCACTGGGTCTTGGATTACATTTTATACTATTAATTGCGAGGGCGAACAGTGGAGATGAAGGTCATGGAAATGGAGATGATGTGTTTGGGGATGTGCCTTCAGGATCGGGATGGTTGAGCTATTTGGTAAGAGTTACCACTGTGAATAGTGACTTGTATTGCTTGATACTAACTAATTAAATAGTCTACTCTAGTCGTCTATTTACTGACGGCATTGTCGATCTTAAATGCATTCTCAACCTTCTCACGAAAGCGCAATTACCGCCTCTTCGAGAGCTCTATCGAAACCGCTCCCACTACCCCTTCTGCTCACAGAGTACGCGTAGACTCTTCGCCAGTATCTTCTTCTCCTCTTCGGTTCTTCTCGAATATGCTAGGGGATACAAGTGCGCAGTCAAGAGCGCATCCAGACCCAACTCGGGATGTTTGGGAGATCGCTGTTTGGGATCCTATACCAGTTTGCCTACGATTATTCTGCCTATTTAGTCCTGGACATGTACTGGTTTATTGGCTATTCCTTCCAACATTATCGTCGGATGCTCGACCAAGTGTTACGATTTTTACTACTCTGGTTTTAGAAGCCTTAATGACTGGGCAATTACTTCTTTTAGAAACAAATTTTTCGCAGCAAGAAAAGGACAACAGCATTATACAGAAAGAAGTCATGAGCGAATATGATGCCAAATTTGTACATCCCCGTTTGAATCCGGTCATGCGAGATGTTGGCACACAGTTTTCTGGGCCGGGTGCTGAAGCCGGACGAGAGGAAGAAATTGAAATCTACACGCCGAGTGTGGTTCTCAAAAAAGGCTTCCGTACTAATCCAAACCCTAACTATGCCAAGTATGTTGACCCGGACAGTGTTAGTCCTACCAAGCCATTCTCCCGTCAAATTTTCTCTCCTGCTCCATCCTTTATTTCAGCTTCCTTTCAGCAACCGCGAGATTCGCCCTACAGCAGAAAGATACCAAACACAACCATGAGACAACCCCAGTTCCGTCAAACGACTCCTACTACTGCCACATCGACTGGGTCGGGGATGGTGGTAGCTTGGGTATCTATAATCATGCCAACTCGCCTTTGAAGAAGACCAGCAGCATGTTCGACATGCAGGGACGAGACCGTAGAGATACACCCAAAAGCTCTTTAGATATGGCAGGGAGGGAAAGAAGAGATCAAAGGGAGAACGAAGCAAGCCCGATGAAGAGAGTGCAGGGAGGCAACGATGTTCGACCATTAGGCAGATTGCCATTTTCAAGCACTGAGAATGATAGAAGAGTTAGCGGTTCAAGTGCCTTCGATCCAAGATCAAGGTATGGGAATGTTGAGCATAGCCCATATAAAAGGGGCCCTTCCAGGTGGTAATTTTTTTCATAGCGGATTCTTTCATTCTTTTTAAATCAACTGTACAATGCATTTTTAGGAGTCTAGCAGGTCCGGTAACATGGTGGCACGATCTATAGTAATGACAAATACCATTACCAAACATTATCTCCTTGTACGTGTATATAATTTTAACAAATCCTGGAATTGGGGTGAAGGTGGTATGACCATTATTTTCACCGTCTCGCTTATTCCTGGTGGGGTTAAGGAGAGTGTGATATGAGATCACTTGTATCTCAACCTAAGTTGAGATTTTTTTGTTTCATGTCAGTGCTTGATCTAGCCTGCTTTCATAAACTACATATTTACTTTCCCATTGTTTTTGATTGCTTTCCTTTACTTCTACACGTTGTTTTTCTCAGTCTGAAGTAAATGCTGAACATAATTCGGGGTTAAATGCTTTTACATCGACTCAACCAAACGTTTCGCTGCTTTGAAACTAAGGTTTTTGTATTTTGAAAGGATAATTTTCCATGGGGGTATTGGAAACGGGAAGTAGATCCCATTAGCGTGCAGTGTCTAAAAATGCTGGTCGTTCCATAAGTACATAGTATTTAAGGATTACGGTCGATCGATAGACGGTATTAAAGATTCTGCTTGATCAAGCTAGCTATACCGATGTCGAAGTTCGACGCTTTATACAAACTCTTGCTTGAAGAACATGATTTTGTCCAATGAGATAAATGCAGCCTTAATGCAATGAATATATAAAGTCATAGATAAGTCCACGATTCGTATATAGTTGCCTTTTTCATCGCGAAGCAATGTTGGGCGTGAAAAGACTGTCAAGACCTATAGCACCAAATATAAGTTTTGGTGTTAACGTGCGCTAGTTCCTTCTCGATGAAAGTTAGTTTACTTAGCGCCATGGAAGGCCCTTATGAAGGCTAAACCATAGATTCCTAGTATTATCCCTTAGATAGAAAGACGGTCCCGTTCTTGGTATAGGGCTTGGCCTAGTGCTGTCATTTTGATACTTTTTTATGTCGGTTTTGTATTCTCCACTGTCATAGTTTGATATTCGCAGTTTCCAGAAAACGGCATTTTGTATACTGAGTTATGATCTGCAGCCCTATACCTGCATGTTAAATGTTGGGACCTTACAAGTATCGACAGATCAGAGAATTTTGCAGCTTCAACCATATGTGCCGATACTTCAGGCTGTTCAATGATGAATGGTAATGAGCATCGAAGTAAAGTGGGATGCTGCAATTTATATCTAGCAAAAGTCGATGAGGCAGGCTGTGTCTTTAGGGTGACTATACATTGAAAACCTGTCATCGCCCGCATTTTTCGACATAGTTCCATGTTGCAAGGAGACATAATACCATACTACAGGTAGTACTAGCTATTTGTAAGTTTTATAGTACATCCCGATGCAAATATTAAGGTAAGGCGATCTTTATTAGTACATGGACAAATTTGTGATTGATTTAGCGGGGAAGTCAAAGTCATTTGTCCAACTAAGCAGGAGCTATCCGAATCTTCCATCGACTAGCACCAGATGACACATATACAAGCCTTTTGGCCCATAGCAGTGCTAGACCATGCTTAGAAGCTCATCAAAAAATATGAAGGCTTTGAGAAATACGACTAGAATTACCGAACTCCAGACTTCTCCGTTAGTGGTCTGGAGATCTGCCTCCATCCTCATACAGTTGACCACTAGCGGAGAAGTTTTCTCCATGGCTTCATTGAAGACCAAATGGTTGCTAGTAGAAGCCATCGCTGGCTTCATCTAACATATTCTCCCACTTTTACTCTATCTATTCTCTTCTCTCTCTTCGTTCTTCAGAAAAAGTTAATACTGTGCAGTTCTCGTTATCATACACATTTTTGACTCTCAAAATTCGTACTTCAACAGTTTAAAATCAATATCAGAACCTTACCTCTTTACAATCAGTATTCCACTCGATTACTCAACTATATTCTGAACATTCAAGTTCCTTATTCAAACATCATTCAACGACCTGACCATTATACAACCTCGATACCTTCATCATGGGTATCAACATCATCTACTACTACGGCTACTTTGTCGCCGAGGATGTCTATAGCACTGCAATGGACGGTGCTAAAGATATCATACCTTGCAGACTTCGTCGCTCGAAGCTTTTCAGAAGGTCTAAAGAATCTAAGTCAGCCTCAACAGAAGAGCCTGAATATAATAACCCCACTTCACCAGAGGAAGAATGCTCAAAGTCATTCACCTCTGAAGACACCGCTGAGACCGTCATCCATTGCTCGTCGGAGGACAAGCAAAGCGAGCTTGACCAGTATATTTTCTCTAATGATTCTAAAGGATCCACAGACACGATCATTCATGATGAGACGGTCAAAATCTCGCGCCGCCAGAGGTGCAAAGCTAAGCTTCGAAAATGTCTGTCTTCAAAGACATTGAAAGCAAAATTCTCCAGCTATAGCATTTCTTCGGATGAATGCGTTGAATCAGGGGATGAAATTATTTCAGACAGTCACATCAACGCAAATGATCACATTGTTTCAGATAATCATGATGATATGAACAATGATGTTCATTTAGAAAACATTGTCAATACAGACAATATCGCTGTTACAGACGTTTCAGAAGCTTCAGGTAATATTTACCAAAAGAAGCAATGGTCTGTTTCAGATTATTCTCTATCTATCTACTCACAGGATGGTATTGATACCATCGTCGTCTCTCCAAAGGGGAAGGAGATCAACGACTTGAAAGCAAAATTATTCAACCAAGAGTTGGAAAACAAGAAACTTCGCTCAAAGGTCTCGCAGCTTAGCAGCGAGCCCACCTCAAAGTCAGTCTCTGAATCAGAGTCTGTAATTCATACTGCATTCGAGTCAACCAAAGTCTCCGAGCTTAGCAGTGACACTCCCACCTCAACTTCAGACTCAACATCAGAGTCTGTTATTCATACCCCATTGGAGACAAATAAAGTCTCCCACCGTCAAAGATATCGAGCCAAGATTCGTCGATGTCTTTCCTCTACTCAGGAATTCCTGGCACCTTTGAAGGCCTTACATCCCAACAATCGGGCTGAAAGGGGCCACACCAAGCAACAAGCCAAAGATGCCCTTGAAACTTTGCAGAACGCTCCAATGTTTTTCGAAGCAGTTCCATTTGAGTCCACTGAGGAGGGTGAAGCTCCAACTTTCTACTGCCCTCGTCATGGCACCTGTTCTTCTCATTTTGCTTGGTGTTTTTGCGATTATCATCCCAGCGCTGCCCATCGTCAAAGTGAAAGAGTTGAAGACTGGTTGCTGCCAGCTTGGCGTGCCAGTGTTACAAGAGGTATAGAGGAAGATAGGGCTGAAAAGGCTAGGATAGAAGAACAGGCTAAAATGGAAGAGCATGCCAGTATGGAAGAAAGGATCAGGATGAAAGAACAACTTAGCATGGAAGCGCAAGCTCTACCCGTTCAAGAGCAGTTTGAACCTCAAAGATTTTCTGCTGAGGACTATATTGATCTGATCAGCGACCTCACTGACGATTACCTTGGTTATTCACGCTCTAAATCACGCAGTCACAAGCGCAGCAAGAGTAAGAAAAGAGTTGAGAGAGCTGTAGAAGAAAAGATGGAGGAACAAGCTCTACCCATCCAAGAGCATTCTGAACCTCAAAAATACTCTGCTGAAGACTATAATGGTCCAGCCAGCGATCGGACCGACGATTATCTTGGTGTCACAGGCTACAACCCACGCACCGGAACGCTCGACAAGAGCAAAAGAAGTAAGAAGAACAAGGAACACCGCCGTGTTCGTTGGGCCAGTACTGAGAAGGGATGGGAGAGCAAAGCTGTAAGTTCTTCTAGCCCCTCGGCTGAATGCACCAAGGAGAATGAGAAGATGGAGGTGCCTTTTTTAGCTTAGACGCCGGTACGCGTGGTGACGTACACTACCACGTACACCATCACTACTGGCGAAGGAATGAGAGGAAAGAAAAGAAGGAAAAAACAATAAAAGAAAAGAGGAGAAGACATAGGAGACATAGGAGACATAGGAGCTCTTTCAATTAAGGAACACGAAAATTTTGTTTATACGGGTCTGTTTTTTAATATTTCTGTTTTCTGGGTTGGTCTGTTGTTTGATTCTTTTGTGTCTTGTATTTTATTTTACTTTTGTGATTTTCTGTTGTCTTTCTGGCGTTCGGGCGTTGGGTGTTTTGGTGTTTTGGCGTTTTTGGAGTTTTGGTATGTATACAGTAGCATAAGAATGGGAATAGAACAGAAAAGGATCAGATCAGATCAGATCAGTATAGGAACAGGAATTATCAGGATAGAATAGAATAGGACAGAAACTCCCTTTCAATGAAAGATTGTTATAACTTTGGTGTCCCAATTGCAACTGTTCCCCAATGTACAGAAGATGGTAGATCTTGTGGCACTAGTCACACATCAAGGACTGTAAACTATCATCGGAGAATCTAGGTTCGTGTCTTTACGATACAGATTAAGTCTGATGATTATAGACATGGCGACTAAGTTGGTCCTCCACTCCGTTAGGATATCAGTGACAGCTCGAGAGCCAACGAAAAAATGTGTCTTTACCCCATTTCACTGTGATTCTTCCTGGCAATAAGAATAAACAGAAATGACATCCTAGACTATTCTCCATGCCTTGGTAGTCAGTCATGCCATCTCACCATGTATCTTCCTGCCCTAAATATATGCTACTGCTTTTTAGATGAGCAAGACTACTAATACCACCCTATTTCCATCTCTCGTCTGAGCTGTTCCATTACGCGAGGACCGTATAGGTCACCAATCTACTCCCTGAGAGAATAGTAATCGTTCTTCCAAATAATGCCACTCGATTTTGCCTTCAAGTGGCTGTTCCAACCCTTTCCCGTTTCATCGAGTCATTATCTTAGGTTTAGCATGTCCCACTTGGGCTGTCAGATAGTAGTCTCTAATGTCCGTAGTATATACCCAGATATATAGATTCATGTTCTGAATTATTCGATGCGAGATAGATTCGATGTTCAATGCGAATTTCGAGATCCGAGATGGGTTCATTGCACACGATGCCTTTAGAGGACATGGTGACAGATGACTTGTTTCTCACACAAGCTGAAAACACAAAAACACATCGATATCTGGTTTGTAATTTTCATCAATATAGTTTGCGGCTCTGTGTTTCATGTGGCTTTCATCGGTATCCCTCCAACCCAAGGGTTGGTGGCATACGAGTGGAATACGGACAAAGCAAAACCCAATCTGGAGATGGAGTTATTTACTAATTCACTTTGAATCTCACAGACTGATGAATAACTCTCCCATATGTGTGTCTTGTTGATGAAGGAAATGAGTCTCCTTTATAATTGATCGAGCGAACTAGCGAAGCGTGGTTGTCTACTTAGGGCTTAGCAATCGTCACGAGAACACCTCTTAAGTACCACACACATTCTTAACGGAGCAAAGTTTATAAATAACAGATATACACAATACATATTAATCCTAAATTACGAGTCGCAAAAACCAAAAATCAAAAATGTATACAATGAGCCTGTTTCCCTCCTCGATACATAGCAACGTAAACCAAGCTCAACAATTTCGCAGATCCTATACCATATTCTCGTATATCAAAATTTCTGTAATCATTCCATATCCGATGCTGACGCCCAGCACCTAGCATCGTGACTATAGAAAGCTGTATATGATGTACATGGAATCTTATATTTCCAATGACGTTCTAGTTTCGAAAGTAGATCTATAACCAATTATAGAAACTAGTTTGTATTTCTGGCTCTTTCACTAAGATTTTGGGTCTCTAAAGCTCCACACGAGAAGCTTCATCATGAGTCTCTGCCCTCGGCTTTTATCTTATGTCTAAGCACTATTACGGTTAGTATATTTACAAGATCTGTAACCCACTTATATTCCTCAGCCTTGCTCCCCATACGCCACCTCCTCTCCCTTCTTCAGCAATCTTGCCACTGACATCTCTCCTGTAGCTTCCACGTTGGCCCGTGAAATCAGTTCCACTGCTAACCTGTCGCCCGTCCCCGCCAACCATAACAGGCGGTGTTGCAGGCTTCAAATCTCCATAGTACTTCGACTTGAAGCTATCGCCAGAGCCTGAATCACGTGTACGAAGGGGCTTAGGTGTTAGCTCGCGAATCTCGGGAGAACGCAGAGGTAGAGGCCAAGATGGCTCGTCCGTTATATCAGCACTTGGACTGCCGATATGTTCATCGGCATCTGGATTGATTGCGGACGGGGCTTGGGAGGAATATTTGGATGACGAGGAGGGGAAATTGTGACGTGGGGTTGGAGGGTTTTCCATTAGCGGATTGGGGAGATGGAAATTGTCATCATAATCATCGGCTGCGGTGGGATCAAGCGGTAAGGGATGGTAAGAAGACTTGATGGAAGTGGATGATTTTTTGGGCGAGTGGGGCCGAGAGCTTGAAGCGCTACTGCGATCGCCCTTCTTACTGAGAGAATCACTAGTGAACCAACTTATGACGCCACTATCAGCGTTGAAGTTGTTAGTAGATTCTTCAGCTGTGTGGAAGGATAGATCAGAGGCGGGAATTGAGGTATACGACTGGTGAGATGCGCGTTTTGGGGAAGAGGAGATTGACGGTGCTGCCTTGAAGTCTGGAACTGAGTGACGGGGTGATTGATTGGGCTTGTAGGCATTATAGCGAGCCGGAGAATCTGTGCGGGATGTACGAGGTGAGGATTGATTAGTCTGGAATGATTCATTGGAATTTGTCCGCGTGTGGAAGAAAGGTATTGTTGGAGGGCGATCGAGATCCTCATAAGCGGCTCCAGAACGCCTTTTATCCTCAAGGTTGGAACCCCTTGACAGTCTTTTCTCAGATGGAGCTGTGATGGTGGTGAAAGTTGAAATGGATGATTTGTTACGTTTGTGGCGAGAAGTGAGATTATCTTCCAGAGGGTTCATATCCGGAGGAAGTTGATTAATTTTGCGGAATGTGACAGCGAGATATAGGCATATAGCAAGAGTAATCAAATGAAGCCCGCCTCCAACTGTGGCTGCGTAGAAAAGAATGTCGGTGAAAATTGTTAGAAGAGTCTTATCAGAAAGAGACGTAGTCCAAGTAGTTTGTTTCGTTTTAGCTGCGAGAGAGATATACGCATAAAATGGTACAATACTTATGTCAGTCAAAGATGCAAACACCATATATGATGCTGAAGATCCCGGCGCTCTGCCGCCAGATCTTCGCGCTAAATGATATACCCCATAAATGGTATGAATAATTGCTACTGCGGGCTGAGACATCTCAATCAGTCGGTAGTTGATATGACGCATTCTGGGGATAACATACCGCAAGCTTCATGATCCACCCTGAAACCATATCCAAGCCCGTGATCAAAATTGACATGATTAGAAGGCCGACTGCTGCCAAGACTTGAAAACATCGCAATACCAATGCGACTTTTCTAGTCCATTTGACTCTCTTCTTGACAGAAGGGTCCATTGGTTCAGAATCCCCATTTCCAAAAGGAACAATGAGATAAGAACTGATGAAAGTATATCAGTATAGATTACAATAATCTCCAAAGGCATATTCAACGTACTCAGGATGTGCATTGAAGTTGACCAAAGGACCATCTGGTCGCTTTGGCCGTGGTGCCTGGGGTGATAAGCTCGCTCTGGAGACAGCTTTTGGATCAAAGGACCAATCTGTTTTGATTGGGTCATAAATGAAGGGAGGTTGGATACCCATTATACCTGACAATAATTAATGAAAGACAGAGTGAATATTGCAGGAATGAAGTCAGGAACGTGGATTTTGCAAAGAATGAATCAAGGGTATAACCTGCGATATTAATCCTGGAGATTAGAGCTTGGATCAACAAACTTAGATGCAAGCTTCGTTAACACAGCAACAAACGATAACTTTACGAAGCACAGCGTTATCGGACAATGCGATAAAGATTTCCGAACGCTTTCAAATGACGTTTGAGAGCGAGAGAAAATGAACAGGATCGCGAGTCCTTGGATTTGCACAAGATGTGCGAACTCTTCACAGCAACGCATACGTTTGATCACTCGATCAAGGGCGTTTACAAATACTACCAGAAAACTTACTGAGAAGCCCAGAGCTCACGATGGTAGACCATTTAGGATGGCTGTCATTGGGTCAGGACCTGCTGGGTTTTATACGTCTTATAAGGTTATGTCCAAAATTGAGAATGCAATCGTGGATATGTATGAGCATCTACCGGTACCTTTTGGTTTGGTACGATTTGGCGTTGCTCCCGACCATCCTGAGGTGAAGGTAAATCTCAATTAGCCAGATCCAGACCGAACGACAAGAGAAAGTTGTGCTAATGCTAAACAGAATTGTCAAGATAAATTCAACGAAGTAGCTGAATCGCCGAACTTCAATTTCATTGGGAATATATCTATAGGAGATCACGCTGGAGCTTTACCTCTCGCTTCGCTATTGCCACATTACGATGCCATATTATATGCGTATGGCGCATCTCGAGATCGTACGCTTAATATCCCGGGAGAAGACAATTTGAAGGGTATTTATTCTGCGCGGGCATTTGTTGGATGGTACAATGGACTGCCGGAATATGCGGATCTTGACCCAGATCTTACACAGGGCGATGAAGCAATAGTCATCGGACAAGGCAATGTAGCTTTAGATGTCGCAAGGATCCTCCTGCAGGACCCCGATATACTGCGAACTACCGACATCACGGAGAGAGCTATTGAGACTCTGCAAAAAAGTCAGGTCAGAAGAGTGAGGGTAGTGGGGAGAAGAGGTCCTCTGCAGGTTTGTTTTATGGGGCAGAGTGGAGCGTGTTTATGCTAACGATTACAGGCTGCATTCACAATCAAAGAAATTCGTGAGCTGGCGAAATTAGATTCGGTGGCTTTTCATCCTTTTGATAGATCGTTAATCCCAGAGGACACATCGACATTGCCTCGAGCTTCGAAGAGAATTATGGAGATTATCAAAAAGGGATCAAGTGCTTCCTTGGAGTCGGCAGCTAAATCATGGTCACTTGACTTTTGCCTCTCACCAAAATCGTTTAATCAGAGTCATCAGTTCCCCTCTCAGTTAGGTGGCATGTCATTTGAGAAAACTTTACTGAGTCCAAACCCCTTTGATCCTATAGCTAAGGCAAATGGTACTGGAGAAATGGTTGATCTTCCAGCCTCTCTAGCCTTTCGATCCATTGGATACAAGTCAGAAGCGTTGCCAGGATTCTCGGATCTGGATATACCATTTAATGATAGCCTGGGCATCATACCAAATGATCCGTTGGGTCGTGTTGTCAATGATAATGAAGGATGGTCAACTTCGGATTCATCTAAGCATATTCCAGGAATGTATTGTGCTGGGTGGGTGAAACGAGGACCGACAGGTGTAATTGCAAGTACCATGCTGGATGCTTTCTCGACCGCAGATACGATAGCTGAAGATTGGTATGCGCATGCAACATTTCTCAATGGCAATGCTGGAGGTTCTGGCCTTGGATGGGATGGTGTAAAAACTGAGGCTGACAAGAAGGGTTGCCGAAGAGTCAGTTGGGAAGACTGGCAGAAGATTGATGCAGCCGAGCGAAGGAGAGGTAACAGTAACGGGAAGGAGCGAGAAAAGTTTACAGATGTGGAAGACATGCTCAAGGTCTTAGATTAAATCAGGAAATTCTAAAACTAACAATATTGTACATTATTTCTTCAACTTCTCGGTGAGTTCTGGGACCTTGTCGAACAGATCTCCAACCAGTCCAACATCGGCGACTTGGAAAATCGGGGCATCAGCGTCCTTGTTGATTGCTGCGATGACCTTACTATCCTTCATTCCTGCCAAATGTTGAATAGCACCAGAGATACCTGCACATAAGTACAACTGTGGCGCTACAACTTTTCCTGTTTGACCGACCTGTAAGCTGTTGTCGGCGTATCCACTGTCTACAGCTGCTCTTGACGCTCCAATGGCTGCCCCCAAAGCATCCGCCAAAGGCAGCATTATTCTGTCAAACTCCTCCTTTGATTTCAAGCCTCGACCGCCAGATACGACTTTACCCGCAGTGGCGAGATCTGGTCTATCTGATTTTGCGAGATCTTCTGATACCCATTCGGTCTGCGATTCAATCTTAGGATCTACTCCCTCCTCAATTGATGCCGAGCCACCCTCCGCCGCTGCTGCAGCAAAAGCTGTTCCTCTGATGGTAATGATTTTGATTTCGTCTGAAGATTCGACAGTGGCAATTGCATTACCAGCATATATTGGTCTGACGAAGGTGTTCTCATTTTCAATTCCTGTAATATCCGATACTTGTTGAACATCGAGTAGTGCGGCAACGCGGGGCATTAGATTCTTTCCAAAAGCTGTGTGACCGGCAATGATGTGTGTAAAGCCACCCTTCTTAATATTTTCTACCAATAAAGGAGCATAGTTTTCTGGCAAACCCTAGAGCAAAATTATCAAAATCTGCTAGTCGGCGAAACCGGTCGTGAGCGAGTAGGTCTCCTTACCTTGTCATATGCAGAATTGTCTACAGCAATGATCTTTTCAATTCCTGCAACTTTAGCTGCTTCTTCGGCTACAGATTTTATGTTGCTTCCCGCTATAAATGCCGTTATTGATCCTCCTAGCTTTTGTGCTGCGGTGACTGCTCCAAGTGATCCATGGTTAAGTTTACCCTCCCTTTGTTCCAGGACGGCAAGTGATGATAATAGTCTTGCGAGTGCCGAGAGGGAAGCTACTGGTGTAGGGCCAGCTTGTGTTCGCAATTGAGTCCGCGCTTGGCGTAAAATAGAGTGGCCGGCTCGTGAAAGCATTGTTCTGAAATTGGGAGGAACAAAATTTGAAAGACTGAATTGTTGGTGAACTTCATCAATGAATTTCACTTAGTACTAGATAACTACCCCATGTTTTCCTTCCACCATCGGAGGCGTGCCGCTTCAAGCCGAGGGACATATTTTGTGTGCCTGACATTTTAATAACCCGAGCCTTACTAATTTAAGGTGTAAACTTTGGCTTTCGTTGGTTTGTCATCACGTGAATAGTTTTAGTCTTGGCTTTTTGGTTTTTGGCTCCATCTTGAGCTTTAGCATAGCAAGCGAAACGCGACCTTCCCTCCAGAAAATCATCAACGCGAATCACAGCAAGAGTGTTTGCGCCTCAATCTCTCAATCGTTGATTACTACATAATTTTCATTTGCATTAAGTCGTGCATCTAATTTCTGATCGATTCGACGCGCATGAGAATTCGAACATCATTTTGGAGATCTAGCACGACTCCCGTTGCGCCAAGTTTGGAAAGCGTTTACGAATAAATTATTGCGATACTTTCACCATTTCAAAATATAAGCAAATATGGAGGACAATTCATTGAACTTTGATTCGCCTGCCCCAGGCAGTAATGCCATCCTCGAGCAACCACCACTTCCCGCAGAGTCTACTTCACCACCAAGTCAAGGGGCCACTGGACAAGCCCAGAGAGCAGAAGGTATATATCATCACATGCTCGCATTACGCGTAAGTTCTAACTGATAATATCTATAGATACCCCAATGGGAGAAGCTGGTTCCGTCGATTCAGCCATCAAAAAAGATTCAAGTGCGCCTGTCTCCGATAACCCGCTTGATGCGCCCGACGCACCTCGCCCAGAAGCTGATGAACCCAAGGACGAGGTAATGGGGGATTCCCAAGCCCAAGATGAAGTGAAAGAAAGTAAAGAGGGCGATGGGGAGAGTGGAGCTACAAATGGACAGGTCGAGAAAACAAAAGCTTCGATCGAAGCATCAGCAAGGGAACATCTTATTTCACAAACACATTCGACTATAATACCAAGTTATAGTAGTTGGTTCGACATGCATGCTATTGCACCGGTCGAGAAGAAATCTTTGCCGGAATTCTTCAACAACCGCAATCGCAGCAAGACCCCATCTGTTTACAAGGATTATAGGGACTTCATGATCAATACCTACCGATTGAACCCAATAGAGTACTTGACGGTGACAGCATGCCGGAGGAACTTGGCTGGTGACGTTTGCGCCATTATGCGTGTTCATGCATTTCTCGAGCAATGGGGCTTGATCAATTATCAAGTATGCCAATTCTTACCCATTGAAAAATCCATCTGCTAATGAGTTTAGGTTGACGCACAACAACGACCTTCGCAAGTCGGTCCCCCTTTTACTGGCCATTTCAAAGTGATATGTGATACCCCTCGTGGCCTGCAGCCGTGGCAGCCTTCCGCCGATCCAATCGTTCTTCAGGGAAAGAAAAATGAAGATACTGAGGCCAAGGCAGTTGCAGAGCCAGCTCCCAAGTCAGACTTAAATTTACAGATAGGACGCAACATTTACGATGCTACTGCCAAAGAGAACAAATTGAATGCGGACTCCAAAAAGCAAACAAACGGCGAAGGTGCGAGCACCAATGGCAGTTCAGACATTGTTCAAAAGTCCATCGAGGACATTGTGAAAGCTCCAATAACCAAAATTCTCTGTCATGTTTGTGGTATTGACTGCACTCGTGTTTATTATCATCACATGTCTCCGGCCGACCCAACAGCTCCCGGAACTACCAAGGGTAAATCGGATATTTGCTCGAATTGTTTCATGGAAAGTCGATACCCTCACAACCATGGTCGAATACAGTATCAAAAGATGGAGAATCCAACATACACGGCCGCTCCTGAACTTGCTCGTGACTGGAGTGATGCCGAGGTTCTTCGACTTTTGGAGGCTTTGGAAAGTAATGATGACGACTGGACAGCAGTCGCGGAGTACGTCGGTACCAGAACGAAAGAAGAGTGCGTCGTCAAGTTCCTGCAATTCGAGATTGAAGATAAATATATCGATGTGGAGCCAAGCAGCACCGACAAATCCAACAAATCCATCGGCGTTGGTATGTTGGGTCCTGAAAACGGCATGCTTCCTTTCAGTCAGGCCGACAACCCACTTATGTCTGTAATTGGTTTCTTGGCAAGTCTTACAGACCCCAAGGTTACAGCAGCTTCAGCTGGTAAAACAGTAGACGCAATGAAGAAAAGTCTACGAGAGAAGATTGAGAAACCGCAAGGATCCGAGAAGGGAAAAGAGAAGGAGGGAGCTTCGGACTCGATGGAAATTGACGATACCGAATCGACCAAACAATCGTTGAGTGAGATTGCTGCATTTCCATTGGTTGCGGTCGCCGGTCGTGCTGGTGCCTTAGCATCCCACGAAGAACGTGAAATGACTCGCTTAGTATCGGCAGCCGTGAATATTACATCAATGAAGCTCGATTTGAAATTGAAACAATTCAATGAAATGGAAGACATCCTGCAAGCGGAGCGAAGAGAGCTAGAAAGAGGTCGCCAACAGCTCTTTTTGGACCGCCTATCATTCAAGAAGCGTGTTAGAGATGTACAAGAAGGCCTGAAAACAGCCGCTGCAACAGGCGGGGAACAAGGAATCAAAATGGCACAGGATGTCATGCAAGGAGGAGAGAAAATGTCCTTTAATGGGGTTTCAGCTCCCGCAGGAAGCGTACAACCGTTGAGTGCGGAAGGTCAAATCAAGAGTTACGATATCTAAGAATGATACGAGCAAGCAGGCGGCAAGGAATGGCTTGGCTGTAGGTATTACATGGCGTAATTGGGGTTGAATATGGAATATTTACTGGTCGTTGCGTAATAAATCGCGCACATGTATGTGTTTGTACTTTGAGATTGGGGAGGTACCTTCACACAAGAGGAGTCTCACGCTTTTACTTTTCGTATCTCTTCGCGTGTGCTCATGTGTATTCTTAAGATAATGAAGTGGCACTTATATCATGATCATATGTTTACATCGGTGTGGAAATGGAACTATTATGTGAGCTTATGCTAATCAATCATCGTCGCTATTGTAGACAACGTAAGACCTAGGCTTAGCAATGTCTTTTGGCTTGATAGTTTCGTCGTGGCGGGTGTACGATCCTCTAGCGTTTTCCTTATCCACACCATCTACTGTTTCTCCGTCTACATCATCCCATTCACTGCCGCTCTCACCAGAATACTCTTGATTCTCAGCCATTTTAATTCTCATCGCCATTGCTTCTCCCTCACGACTCTCTTTCAATCTCTCTCTCCTTTCTCTCCTCCCAATCTTTTCCCTGTTTCTCAAGAACTCTTCCTCGCCAACCACACCCATAACTTCCCATTCACTCTGAAATTCCCTTTCTCTCCATTCTTCCCCGTTGCTTTCGGCCTCTACCTCCAGTTTCCTAGCAGGTTTCTCGGGCATTTCTTCATCTTCATCTGCCTTAAGATCTGGAGGTGGATCTTGTCCCAATAGGCTCCAGATGCGTTGTTCTTCGATTCTGCTGACTCGGTCATCGAAAGCGGAGATGTAGGCTTCTAGAGCATGTTCATATTCTTCAGGTGAGAGATGGGGTTTGCGTTGAGAGCGAGACTGAGTTTGCGATTGAGAGGGGGATGGAGATCGTTGAGTAAAAGGATTATCATCGAGATGATTAGATATAATAGAAGTTTCGGAAGCATCTGATTCAATATCCGAATCGAGGTGGGAATTGGAGGAGGATGTATATACTTCTGATAATTCTTCGGCATGGTCTAGATGCGGACGACTGCGTGAACGAGATCTGCTCCTCCTTCCACTATATTCTTTTCGTAGTTCGGTTTCCACCTCTGAGTATGTCATTATAGGACCACCCGGTTCATCGTGGCGGGAAATAGAGAGATTATTTCTCCTAGCACATTTGACCCAGAATTCATTACTGTTGGCGTCCATTTTCAGAATCTTGGTAGCAGCCTCCACGTCGTTGATGCTGATATCCGCTGCTTTGGTCTTATTCGAGTCCATGGCTCTTATTCTTGACATTGTACAGAAAAGAACAGTTGAGACGAGACGTTTCGTAATACTGACTGTTAATGAATGAAAATCATCAAAAGCAGTTGCGCGCATAGCGGGAGTTTCTCCATGTTCCCCTATCTGCTTCCAATTATCCTCGCATCTGGACTCGGAGGGATTCATAAACACTCTCTCGGAAAGTGCGAGCCAATTCTTAAGATTTAAAAGGCGGACTGCTGGTAGTAAATCTTGGATGTCTTCGTTGCCTTGCGTCCTGGTTACACTGCGTTTCTGTTCTAAAGACTTGCTCACTTTTTCGGTTAGGAGCCAATATTTCCCCCATTTAACTTCCTCGACATCTTCCTCATATTGTTCTTGTCGTAGAGCAAGGCCATCTGCTGCTCGCTCCATAATTTCACAGCATTCTGAAGTAAATTCCGCGGCAGCTGGATATTCTGTCACATCCAGTAGTCGCGCATCTTCGGTCTTCCTTTCCTTTAATCCTTGGTGCAGTAGTTGCATGTATTCTTGCACCTCGACTTCCGACTTGGTTCCTATGCGTGTAGCAATAGCTCTTACATTGTCTCTGCCCAGTCTTGATAACCCAGTAAAAAACAGGTCTTTCTCTTCGGGTGACCATATGGAACAGCCAATTTGACTGCCTTCTAATGGAGTATTATCCTCAAGGATCGACTTCGCTCCTACATCATAAATCTCATTGTTCAGAAGATGGCGATAATCCTTGCTATAAAATCCCTTGACACGCTTTGCCCTCGCCGGATTTCCGTTCGTTCTTTGCTTTAACTTTCGCTTTTTGGATGTCGGACGGTAGGCTCCTCTTGTTGGCAAAGGAATATCTTCCACTTTGGGAGGTACAAAAGTAGCCGCCCATTTGAGAGCATCTGCAATTATCCATTCATCCGTATATTGGTTGTTCGGATTTGGATTTGCTAGAGAGGTTGAATAAGAATCTCTCTCTCCTTCTGAATATATATCACCTCCATCATTACTTCCGTGGTTGTGAGAAACGCCTGTACGCGCTCTCTCATCATGTGATATCTGCCCAAAATCGCTGTCAGAATTCTCATACGCTGATCCTGAATCTGGTTCAGGAATATCAAATGGGCCTTCGAA